CCCAGATCTCCAATTCTCACCTGGTATCCCAAAATACCTGATGATTGGATGATGGGTGATGATTGGATGATGGGTGATGATTGGATGATTGGACTGCAATCATTCTTTTATAGCATGCTCAGTTTGGCTCACCGAACAATTTTGCATTAATCACACAAAGAAAATTTTAATTTCAATTTTAGAGAGTGAATGCCGCTAACGATTAATGTAATTCATTTTAGCCTTTATATAAGCCTTGAATAAGAGAAGGTCATTTAAAGTAAATTGCATGTGAAGGAGGTGAACTGGAATTGGAAAGAGAGCATTATTTTTCTACTAAAATAAAGACAGTTTCATTCCTTCAGTCATTTTTGAACCAACAAAGCAATAAATTCACCTTAAATCAGTGATTAGTTTACACTCCTAGAACCAAGTGTGCCACACACGAGGGTGTTATCTCGCCATTAACATTGTTATGACGGCGATGCAGCTCCCCAACAACCTTGCAAAAGTTAAGCTCTGCTTTGTTTGCTCTGCTTGTACCATAAAGCATCTGAGAGACAGATGAATAGCAATAATTCTGCAGGCATAGCAGATTCTCCGCTCAGCTGTGTGAATGGACAGACTACAGCTGTGTGTGACATGAATGGACAGAGCCTCTCGCCACCTGTTGCATAATTTATGAGGTTTGGTTAATGTGTTTTTCCTCGCCGCTTATTGGTTCTCATCAGTGCCTGCACACAGGGATGTACGGTAACACTGAGTTAGACGTTACCAAGGTGACCATATGCAGGAATCACACCTGGAGCTAATGAATCAGGACACACTTGTGACTTTTAAGTCTTTTTTTTGCATGAAACTTTGACCTGTAGTAAAATTTAACAAACTACATGATCTGAACAGAATACATTTGAGGTACTATACAATTGTACTTCTATTCATCTATATGGTATCATTCTAATTATAACATAACAAGGGCTTTTAAGTTTTAAATTTGCCATATGAAGGCTGGATGTTTATTTCTTTCTCCTGCCCATTCATTTGCAGGTACACGATGGCAGACTAACCATCCTTGGCATCACCAGAGATGACAGAGGGGCGTACACATGCCGAGCCTACAGCGACCAGGGAGAAGTGCTCCACACTACCCGTCTGTTGGTTCAAGGTGATGTCTCCTCAGGATGAGTAAAACAGATATACAAGTTACAAATATAAAAGTCGAATCCGAATGTGTTTTGATATTTTGCCAGATTTTTCATTGAAAAGAAAAATCTTTCCCCGTCTCTACTGGAGGCATACCACTCTGATTGCATCGATATAGTAGTTAGGTTCCATTATTTATACTTAAAGGCAAAGCTCTGCACTCCTCTGGGGTACTGATGTATGTAACATACCTTCTGAGTCTGTATCGGGCAGTCAATAGCTCAGTCTGGGGCCTCTGTATGTGAATGTGTGCACAGCCATGTGTATACAACAGGATCTGTCTAAGAGCGCGTCACTGTCTGTCTCCGGTCCATTAACCAGGCTCTCTGCTAGACACAGATCAGATAGATGGTTGTGATAGCAGCCTCTCTCGGTCTCTTGATACAGCGGGGCTTGGGGGAGTTAACAGTGTGTATTTAACAAGCAACTGAGCATCTTGCTTTTAAGGTGTGTTTTAACGCTTGACTTCTGTAGGTGCAAACATAGCAGAGAAATAACTCCACTCCTTTGCAGTACAGTAAATGGAGGCACACACACACACACACACACACACACACACACACACACACACACACACACTGCAAACATGGTGATTGTTTTGTAACTTACTGAAGACTTAACTGGTGGTGCATGAGATACAACTGCATTAAGGCTTCAGGCCTCTGGTGGAAGTACCAATTCGATACCTGTTCTCTCTTATCTTTATGCAAGAAGTCTCAGTCATGATATGCGTATATGATAAATGCACAGAAATCTTTCATTGTAGTTTTGTAGACATTGCAGTGTTTTTGCAATATAACAAGACCAAAACCACAAAAACAAAAAAGGCTGATGCTGTAGTTTGTTTGAATATTACCACGAATAACACCGTGAAATAAGAGACACGATTACTTCGCACACGCGGAGCAATAACCAGGAGACATCTGAGGAGTCATGGTTCTCAGTCTGGTGATCTGTTTTTAATTGTTATGTGAGACGTCTGCACAGTGATGTAAAAGGCTGTGCATGCTCAGAAGTGAACAAACAGGAGGTTTGTATCTGGGCCTTCTCATAAAAGACAGCTTACCTTTCATGGCTTCTGCTGTTTTATTGAGCGCTAAGAGCAAATCTAGAGCACTTCAGGAGATGAAAAAGGTTACAGTGTGAAGCATGCGAAACCAGAATGCTGACTAGTATTAAGTTTACAACAGCTGGCTGCTTACTGTATTTTAAATCAGACTGTGATGATATATGCTGTAAATATTACTTAGTGTGTGCTTTTTCTCACCCTGATTTGCACCCGAAAGAACAAAGTTGGTGTGAAAGCCTCTAAATAAGATTTTTTTAAAATGAAATTTCATCAATTTTGAAAAAAAATTAATAGGTTTAGGTTTTAAAGAATTAAATTATTATGTTGGGGTTGGGGTGAAGGTGATGATATATGCCTAACATTCAATAATATAATTTTTTTAAAGTAAAAATAAAACAAGAGCTTTGGGCACCACATATGTTAACTAATTTCTAATTTCTGGGACTAATAAAGGTTATCTTATCTTATGTGGTGCAAAGAACAAATCCACAGGAAGTTGTGCTTTTTAGCATCTTTGTGCTCGCTGTTTCATCCACTGTCAGCTTTACTGTATTAGTTCAAGCTTATGAAGCGACATGAAACATCTGCTACGAACCTTTCTAGACAGTGACTGTTCATCCACAAACAAAAGATGTCAGAAACCAGCTGAAACTATTAGAAAGTATTCACTGGACACTTTATTAGATACACCTTGGCTGTCTTGTGCTCTTCCACATCCCAAAGTTGCTATAAATATTTGCGTCGACAAGCCATCTTTCCATTTCTTTTTCTGGAAATGGGCCTGAGTCCATTTAGCAGCTAGAAAAGCTGAAATGGAGATGAAAACCAAAGCTGTAAAAAGACAGAAATTTTGAATTAACATTCATAAGGCGGATTGAAAAAAAGACTGCCTGCTTCAGCGCTTTTAACACTTTTTTCTGTTTCTTTCAGGGCCTCCATACATCGTTTCACCACCAGAAAATGTCACTGTAAACATATCCCAGAATGCACTCTTCACCTGCCAAGCAGAGGCATATCCAGGCAACCTCACCTACACCTGGTTTTGGGAAGAGGACAACGTCTACTTCAAGAAGTAAAGTTATGATCAAGTTCACTTCTGTACTGTGGCTGTTCTCGCTCTCAGTGTAGGGAAACTTGTTAGTTAAGCACTTGTGTGAGGTTAAGACTTAGTGATTTAAATCAGCACCATGCAAGCTGCATAAGGCCTTTATCCCTGAGCTTTTGTGATGTGATTGACATTGCGGGTCTCTGAGCCCTTTGCTGTGCTGCGTTTTGAGCGACTGTCCAAGGGTATTTAGTTTGTGTGTGCCATGCCCTGCTGTGACCCCAGAGGCAGTAAGAGTGGGCCTGCCGGGGTTCCGTCTGGAACGTGCCAGGCGAGTTAGTGCGCTCTGGTGACAACATCACATGACTCAGGCCTTGTGTCATCATATGCCTCTCATGCGGTGATGATATGAAGCGTAGCCAGGACCTCTGCAGGCTCCCCAGAGCTGGTGTTTAGAGTCTGAGAGGCTTTTACAGTGAGGAAGTGACAGACAGAACAAGTGGGAAGGAAGAACTAGTGAATAGGGTTTTGACTGGCGGTGAAAACAAGTGTCTGAAGGACTTTCACAGAGGAAGTTTCCATACTAATTTTAAACAGCTTTTGTAACGTCAATCTTGATTTTTTTTTTTCGTTCTTTTTTTTTTTTACAGGATGGGAAAGATTTAGTTGAGGGACTTTATGATGAGACAGTCAGAATTTATGCACTGATCAAACTTTTAGTCGTTGCACAACAAGAGCCTATTGCCAAGTGTTAGAAGTAAGACACGTTTAATTTAAGCATCTTACAGCAAAGCATAGCCTTTAAGAACAGCTAGCAAATGATCACATGATTAATCACATGAGCATATATATAAACACTCTGGCGATATGTGCCATATGGTACTGAAATTTGGCTTAGTGATCTTTTCCCTTTCAAAACCAGCAAGTTGTAAAGGACTTGATCTATTTAAAAGTGTTTATAGACTTAGCTATGCCTGCCTCAGGTGTGTGCTCCTCTGCAGACAAATCCTCTGTTTGTTTGCCTGTGAACTAGTCCTACATGATCGGGACTCGAGCAGCCAAAACTGGCTCACAGTTACACCTTCAGCCCATGAAGATTCTTGACTACATTAGATCTTGTGATGTCACGTTTTAGCCGGTTGCTACAACCACTTAGCTGTTGGCTAAAATGAACAGTTTATAGCGTTTATGCACCTACAACAGCTTGAAAAACATCTCGTCATTTTTATTTCACACCTGTAACATTTCCACAAAAGTCTGATAAAATATGATTACATATGATGAATTTTAATAGTTAATTGTTGATCCCCTCATGTGTGTAACAGAACAGATCCGGTCATGTGTTCTGAGCCAAATGTTCAGCCTGTGTTATTGTAGAGAGGGCCAGTGTGATTTTTACATCTTTTAGCTCGTCCAGCCGAAAGACCGATGAGTTTATACCAGGGTGAGACTTCCATCGTCCATCCTGTCGTTCACAGTTCACAAGGACTCCTTCTGGATTAAACTTAAATGAAACCTGCACACAGTGATCGCCTAATGGGTATTCACCCTAACCGGTGAACTGTGACGGATCGTGAGCCAAATGAGCCGCTATGGCAGTGACCTTCTGGCGTTCTCTTGGTTTAATTCTCATTTTCACTTTTGCTGCTTGTTTGGTGTTGGAGAAAAAAGGAGAAATGAGTGAAAATACCCTTTGGCTGCTCTTTTAGTTACTAATAAATAATATATAGTCAGCATTAATGTTAATGATCCTGATTTAGTTGCAACACATAATTAAATCATTCAAACCAAAGTTATGTAACTGTTATATATGGGGTTTCTCATTTTTTGGTTGCTATTAATTTAAATGAAATTTACTGATTTACTGATACTGATGATCATTTGTTTTTGTAAAGAACTTTTTTGTAGATGCTCAAAACTCTCATTAAGTACAAATAAGCTGAAGGCAGGAGGAAGCAGATACCAAGTCTCAACAACAATTTGTGAAGCTCAGTGTGACAAATATGTTAGTTACCAATTAAGTATTTGACAAAATAATCTTTAACAGCTCTTTTCTAGAATTATTAAAATCATCCCGTTAAATAAATGTGATAACTCATTTGTATAATAAATGATCAACCATTAACAAAGCCCTGAAGGTCTTTTTTACGTTTACTTTTTATTTAAAGGCTTTTTTAGTTTAAATGAATTAAATATTAAAGTACTGAGTGAGTCCTGAGTATCTGTTTAAAACAAACAAAGAAAAATAAATGAATATTGTCTGCTCTGTCATTTTTTTTTTTAATTGAAAGGGAAACCACGAGGGCCGTACCATTTGGCAGTTATGACAATTAGCAGATTTATTTGAGTCTCTCGTTTTGTACAGAGTGTTCTTTGGACCCCTCTCAGCTGGCTTCTGTTTGACTCTCTGCTGCTCTCTTATGGCACCTTGATGTAATTTAGCTCCGTAGATGTGTGCCCTGTCCTGTCGGTGTGCTTCAGTAACACGCTGTGATAAAACGTCTGTGTCTTCTTGCAGCGATCTGAAGCTCCGAGTGCGCATTCTCATCGACGGCACCCTTATCATCTTCCGGGTCAAGCCGGAGGATGCTGGGAAGTACACCTGCAGTCCGAGCAACAGTCTCGGTATCTCGCCCTCAGCATCAGCCTACCTGACTGTTCAGTGTGAGTGTTGCCATGACGACAAAGTGGGAGGGGGGAGGGGCGGGGAGCTAGTACAGCGAGCCATGTGAGGAGCAGCAGCAGCAGCAGTATGGAGTCTGCTCGTGCTGGAGGCTGCTGTAGTATTTGGCTGCGCTGCTCCTGTAATGCAAAGTAACCTTCTTGAATTTCAAGGTCAGGTGTTGCAGAAAGGCAGCAGAGTTTTGATTTGACCATTTTCTCACTCTCATTGGAATTTAGGAATTGGATTATAATCTATTCCGGCTCCAGCCTCATTCCTGTGCACAAACATGGAGACAAACTCGTCCCCAGACTCAATTTTTCCAGCTCTCCTTTGATTGTGGCTGTGAGTGATGAGAGAAGAACCCCACTCCCACACACATGACGTTTCATCATAAGTCCACTGTGCAGAGCTAATTTGCTCCCAAGTTGCTGCTGGTCATTGATTATTGTGCTACACTATGAGAGGGAGCTGGGGGATTCACAGCACTGCAGGCACTGACTTCATCACTAGCCTCACATACAGCAGGCGATAAACCAATGTCCTGATGGTCCATGTAAAACAAACTCCAGCTTTATGTATGAAGCAGCTGAGAATCACTCCCGGAAGAGAGGAAAAACACTCCTAACTCAAAGTAAAAAACTTCTTGGACTAGCAAAGCAGAAATTAAACGGTGGTGCAATAGTTTTCTGGATGTTTTCTGGTTTTTATATGCGAAGCCAAGTATCTTCTGTAACTTAGCAAGTCTGTATGTGCAGAAATATGTCAAACTTTCACTCACTCGGCTTAAAAAAAGAAACGATAGTACTCGAGAAAATTTGCATTGAACACTAAAAAACCTTTTGGAGGCTGTAATGCTTCACCACATCCTGTGCACGCTGCTCACACACATGCATGTGCAGTGATTATGTTGAGAACTCTCTTGCTGGCTGCTGCCTAATCTTCTCTTCCACTAATTCCCCTTTCAGCACCTCTTTTATGTTCCTTACATGTCAGGAGATTTTTTTCTACTTCTCTGATTTTTCCCAGTCCTTGAAAATGCTCCGGAGATGTTTTAATTCATCTCTTAAACATGAACAGAAACAGCTATAAGTGAAGCATTTATGAAACAGCATCTTAATACTATTTGTTGTAGTTGATGTAGATTCATGGTTTGGGAGCAGACCTTAGGAGGTCTTAAAATGATTTAAGTGCAACCTCAGGTGAACAATTATAGATGACATATAAAGCAGTGTCATGATTTGTTTCGAAGAAACCAAACCAAATCATAGGTTTGCAGAATTGCATCTGAACTAACCACAAGACGTCTGGAGGAATGTCCTTTGCAAACCAATCGCAACAATTCAGCACAAATATTCGTCCTGACTGTCGGTGCAGCGAGGAAGGGCTGGTTTATTTTGCAGCCACAGGACCTGAGCACCTTGCACTGATTGCATCCACAAACTCCTCTTTATACCAAAGTATTCAAAGAGTCAAATGTGAGGCCGTCTGTCTGACAGCTAAAGCTGAAAAGGCTGAAATTGGGTCATGCTACAGGACAATGATCCCAAGCACAGCAGCAACCGAATGACTGAAAAAGAAAAGAATCGAGATGCTGCAACGGTCCAGTCAGAGTCCAAACCTCGACCTCATTAAAATGCTGTTGTGAGAACTTAAAGAGAGCCGAGCAAAAGCAAATACCCGCAAACCTCAATGACCTGAAGCAACGTTGTAAAGACGAGTGGACTGAAATTCCTCGACAGCGATGTGAGAGACCGATAAAGTCCTACAGAAAAGTTATTACTTCTACAAGCTGCTGAATCCATCGGGTGCACTTGTTTTTTCACGCCTTGCGTCTCCATCCTGGCTTAGTTTATATAAAATAATGAATAGAATATGTGATGTGCTGTTGTTTATCTGCATGTAAATAATTTGAAATTTAAATGTTTTTGTCCTGATATATAAAACGAGTTGTGAAGATATTAGTTTTGCCAGAAATGCCACATGCTGCACTTTTAAAAATATGTTAATGCTGATTTTACCTGCCTCTGTTTATGTGTTCCTAAATTTGGCAGTGATAGGCATTAAGAAAATTGATAAGACGCTAACCCTTCTAGCTGTGAATCTTCCTAATCTGGGAAGCTTTATAAACATGTTTGATTTTTCTGTTAATCAAAACATGTTGAATCAAGCATTTTCAGAAATTAACAGTTATTTATAGTTTGTCGATTTATCACCCGACCCTTATTTGTCCAGACCCTGCCCGAGTGATCAACATGCCCCCGGTCATCTACGTCCCACGGAAACTGCCAGGCATCATCCGCTGCCCGGTGGATGCAAACCCACCTGTGACATCAGTGAAGTGGGAGAAAGATGGATACCCACTCCGAGTGGAGAAGGTGAGTCTGATCTGCTTTTTTGTTGAGATTCGTGGCAAAATAAGTCATAATTATCTTACCGGTTTAGCACAAGGGAGTCTTTGATTATGCTGAAAATTATATTTCTCAAATATTGTCCAGTAAAGATGACTTTTTTTCCCCCCATTTTTATTGTAAAACCCATAAAAACAGATTTTACAGAAACTCAGAGAAGTATCATCTAGTCTAATATCTTATTAGGTTTGAGGAGTTATTACGTTGTTGGACTGCTGGACTGCTTTGAAGGTTGTGTTGAAGTGTTAAATTTAACAGCCCTCTGTGGATTTTATAAATTACGAATTGGTTTTCTTTTGGGAAACAAGCATTCAAAAAGACACAACTATTGCTTTTGTTTCTTGCCAATAGTTAAGTGACTGTGAGCATTTAGTCACATACTGTACTTGTATACACATTTGGGGTCCATTAAACTACTGCTTTATACTTCTGCTTCCTCATATCTGACACATGAACTGTTACTTAAGAACTGCTCACTTTTCAGAACTGGAACATTCATTAAAACGTTGAAAGTTGATTCTGTTCATTGGGTTTGCCGTGTTTTCAGTGGGAGCAATGTTTCATCGCTCATCAAAGTGACTTTTTCTAGTCTCTTTGATGAGCGATGAAGCATTTCTCCCACTGAAAAGAGGCTGAAAAAGTCACTTGGATGAGTGATGAAACACGTCTCCCAGTGAAAACACTGCATCCAACAAATTCAACTGTGCGAGATTTCCATACGTGGATTATTGAGCATGCATCGAGACGTTCATAGAAGCAAAGAATAATACGAGACGTTATTGAAAAAGCAGATGTTGTTTGTATTTTGGGTCTAATTTAGGATCTCGCCATGTTTCCGATGTCTCTCATTTCCCTTTTTAAGGTTCACAAATGGTTTCGTTTGAGTAAGTTGTTGGAAGCCCAATGAGGCGAAAAGTACAAATATTTGTAGCAGATGTGTTCTTCTGTCTTGTGTTTCTCAACATTATCTCAGTACACGCTGACAAATCTAACAATAATAATAATAAAATTAGCAGCAGTATTAACAATCTACTAATGTCACTCACCAGGGCATTTTTGATTTGAACATTTTTGTACATTTGCTGATAATATTTCTGTAGTTTAGCTTAAATGGGATTTTTAGTTGCTAGTTTTTACTTACTTGCAGTGTCCCTTCACTGGCTACTTTATTGGTTACATCTTGGTATTACTGGTTTGAACCCCCTTCTGCCTTTTTAATCATTGCTCAAAGATTTTGGTCCATTTTGACCTGATAGCATCACACAGTGCACATACACACTGGACAGAGATTGTTGTTGAAGCCATTTGATTAGAGCAAACTCCGTGTCACGTGAAAAAAACTAGCTTGTTATTATTTGAGCTTTGTGAGATGGTGCATTATCCCGCTGGTCATCATAATACAGGTCATAAAGGGATGGACAAGGTCAGCAGCAGTACTCAGCTAAGCCGTGGTATTTAAATGGTGCTCAGTTGCTATTAGGGGGCCAAAAATGTGCCAAGAAAACACCAAGTAGATCCACAGCATCTAAAATACTCAGTCCAGACTGTCTCAGACCAGCAACCATGCCACTTTCTAAGTCTCTTAGATCGTCATTCTTCTCCGTTTTCTGGTGCTTGTTTGGGACTTCAGCAGGTCATCACGACTATGACTACATGCCTAAACTGACCGGGTTGCTCCCATGTCATTGCCATATTAGTAGAACCCGACTGATATAAGATTGTTAAGATGATAGTGATGCCGATATTGGACAAACGTTGCAACAAAAACACTCATAACAAGGTTGAAGCTTGTTTTTTCCACCTTTTACTTTTTAAATTTTCATATATCGGCCATTATAAATGCAGATGCGAATTCATCGGCATATAGCTAGTATCGACCGATATATTCTCCACGCCAATATATCGGTCGGGCTCTGCTGAACAAGCTTGCTCTACTTGCTCAAACAAGCAGCTGAACAAGTGTAACTAATGAAGTGGCCAGTTGGTGCATAAATTAACAAGTAAAGATTTTTTTTTGCATACACAGTACAGCAGCTGCGTACATAAATGATTTTTTTTATCATTTCAAAGTGCCACCTGGATATAGCATGTTTGTGCACAGAGCTCTCTATCTTTGCTCTGTTTTTCTTTTATCTAAAATGCTGCCAGTGTTGAGGGCAGGTCTGTATTAAATAAACATTAACTTCCATTCATCTGATTTAAAGGATCTTTGGGGATCTTTGTTTTCTCGTGCAGTTCAAAAACATTAAATGGGACCCTGAGAGTTCAGGAAAACCCCTAAAATCAAGCATTTCAGATGCCCCCTTGTCTTATAGTACCCCGGTTGGAGCCTGATGCCAGACGGAAGTATCCGGGTGGCGGAGGCCACAGAAGACTCCCTGGGCACCTACACCTGTGTGCCTTACAACGCCCTGGGTACCATGGGCATGTCCCCCCCTGCCACTTTGGTGCTAAAGGTAGATCACTGTTTAAGTTCTATATAGTCTCTCTTTTATAACTTGTGCACACTTACTTGTAAGTGTTTATGATTTGATTTCTCAAGGATCCCCCTTACTTTAATGTGAGGCCTGGGGGGGAGTACCGTCAAGAGGCTGGGAGAGAGCTAGTAATCCCCTGTGCTGCTTCTGGAGACCCTGATATACCATCTATCACCTGGAGAAAGGTGCCAAACAGCTAAACACGCGCCATCGAAATTCTCTTGAAAATATGTGCTTGTTTTCACTTATAACTTCTTGACATTTTTGCTGTGTTTAATTGTACCACTGTAATTTTCATGTCAATTGAAGGTGGGGAAGCCAAGCAGGAGTAAGCACAACATCCTACCCAGTGGCAGCTTACAGTTTGTGTCCCTCAGCAAAGAAGACCATGGAGAATGGGAGTGTGTAGCCACAAATGTGGTCACAAGCATCACTGCCAGCACGCGTATCCTAGTCATCGGTACAAACAGTCTGCACAGCGCTCTCAGTTTCCTCAGTTTCCTCAGCCACTGACCTTTCTTACTTATGTTGAGTTCACTTTGCTGTGGGATTTGCATGAAGAAGATGTCACCCTCATCCCTCAAACTCTTTGCCTTTACCCAATTTCCCTTTGGCCATCATTAAAATTTAATCTAATCTTATCTGCAGTGGCTTTATACAGTTAATTTAAAGCCTGAATGTGTAAGTACAATGTGCTGAAACACTGTCACTGCAGCCTTTGTCTGTCTAGTCATTGAACCAAGGGCATCTTTTTTTACTCTTTGAATTGACTGACTGAAGTGTTGACAAAGGCAAACAGGGTTATTAAGTTTGAAACAGGCTGCTGAAAGCCTTCATGTGCATTGGTAGAGCCAGTCTTACATTGTGGATCTTCTTATTTTATTTGTATTCTGCGATCAAGTTGCAGCATTCAAACTGATCTCAACAATTTTGCCTTTAAGTACCTTTTGTTGTATTCTTTGATCCAAATTGATTTCTCAACACTGACAATGCCTTTTACTTACTTAAGATGTCACAATTTCCTTATGTCTGGAATACCAGCCATTTAAGTGGGCTGCATACTGTAGCTTCATCGATATATAACTAATATGGCAAAAGAAGTTATGATGATTTGCAATTAAATTTCAGATTCTTGTCTAGACTTTGAAAACCTACTGTTGGTTAGAAGTTCAGTTTATCATAAATCAAATTCAAAAAGGTGAACTTACAGTTTCTTAGTTACAACTTATTGTCTTTCATTGACAGTGAAATATTTCAAACTTTTTTTTGGTTTCATTTGTGTTGATTGCACCTTAATCTCAAATCTAGTATCATTTAATTTAAAATTTGAGCAGACACCATAAATACATCTCTTTCTAGTTCATGCACACAATCACAGTCACGAGGAAGACTGCTGACTATACAGATGATGATCATTCACAAGATCCTGTGTGTAATGAATAATATAATATATAAAAGTTTATATAGAAAATATCAAAACATAAAAGTTTACATTTTTAAATAAAATTATGAAATGAAATAATGATTGTTAAAAATTATTTTCTGCAGAGATAGATAGGAGGCACTGGGACAAAGATGGCCGCTCAGCTTTTCTAATGCTATCACCCCAATAAAAAAAAAAATGCTGTAAAAAATGTAAACAAAAACAATGCAATGATTCGTAAATCTGATAAAGGCCATATTTTATTCACAATATTACATTAAAAACACATTTAAATGTTTCAACTGAGAAAATGTACCATTTGAATAAAAAATGTATATTGACTTTGATGGCAGCGACATATCTTAAAACAGTTTAGCTGTTTTTCGCTGTGTAGCATCAGCCCTTCATTTAACAATGCTCCATAAACTTCCCAGCATTAAGGAGAGCAGCTGTTGAACGTTTTTGGGGAGGAATGTTGTCCCATTCTTGTCTGATATCGGATTCTAGCTGCTCAACAGTCCTGGGTCTTTTTTATCATATTAAAAATGTAATGATTTACTCATGAATATATGAAGTCATGGTGTTCTAATAGATGTAGTAATTGGTTTAGTTTTCTTTTACTGAAATATGCAAGACCTTCACTGGAAAAAGCAGATGTCCTTAAACCTGTGTGTGCAAGCTGATTGTTCATCTCCTCTTTAGTCTGAAAGATGCAATTCCCATGTTTTCTGACAAGAATTTCACATTTTAAGTCATCTGAACAGTTTTCCACTTTGCCTCAGTTCATTTTAAATGAGCTTTGTCCCAAAGAAGACAGCGACATTTCTGCATCACGTTCACATGTGGATTCCTCTCTGAATGATAGAGCTCTTATCTGCATACATGGATGGTAATGTGCTCACAAAGAGTGATTTCTGAGGCCACACAGTGATTTCCATGACAGAATCATGCCTGTTTGTAATATACTGCTGTCTGATTGGGCATCCAATATAGATTTTTGGCCTTGCACACAGAGATTTCTCCAGATTCTCTGAGTTTATTGATGATATTATACTCTCTAAGATGCTCTTTTATACCCAACCATTAGCAACCTGCAAAACATGTCTAAGCTGTTTCCTAGCTATGTGTTGCCCCCATCTCAGCTCATCTCTTTTTTTAGATGTGTTGCTGCCATCAAATTCAAAACTAGCTAAAATGTTTAATAAAAAAGTTTAAAAAAAATCAAAATATTAATGTAGTTTATCAAAGAAATGTTTAATATTTTTTAAAAACAGATGTGAGAGCTGTACAGGTAAATCATAAATTCTGTGAACTCTCCTCTGGTGAAAGTGAGCAGATCAGTAAGACTGACACCGTGGTCCATTGGCCTATTTTCCAAGGATTCATCACAGTGTTGCACAGCTGGCAACGTTCAGCTCGCCTCCATGTGACCAGCACTAAGCTGGCAGGTGTGGCAGGGTGGTGCAGACAGCTGTGCTCCTCCGACCACCCACAGGTCTCCCTTTTATCCCAGTGAGAACTAACTGGCTTCAGGCCACACTGCACAGCTGCTAGGCCTGTTTGGTGGGATGAGATGAGCTACAGATAGCACTGCTGCACTTGAATTGCCTGACCTTACGCTGGTCACCACCTCAGCCAGCATCACATGATTTGCATAGAGCTGGCAGATGCATGACACAGCAACATTTGGAGGGTGAAAATAGCATAAATAGCATAAATAATTTGCGTCATTTGCATTATTTGACTAAAACACAAATCATAGTAATTCAGAAACAGACAGTTATATGTATAAAATGTCAAAACAGTATTAGTATTTACAGAATTTCTATAGCTTAATCACTGCAAGTGATATTAAGTGATGTGTGGGTGTAAGATGTTATATTATAAGTAAATTAGTATGTGTGCATTATGAATTTATTCCCACTCTGTCTCTGTCTCTGTAAATCACTCAGGCACCAGCCCACACGCTCCTGGCAATATCCATGTACTGCCCTTAACAACCTCTGCTAATGTGTCCTGGGAACCAGGTTATGATGGCGGCTTCGAACAGACATTCTCTGTGTGGTATGGTCCAGTGTGAGTACTCTCACTTTGCTTTAAATCAATGCCAGCAGTCTGCATAGATGCAGAAACAGATGGTAGCTGGAGGTAGACGCGTACGTCCGGATTAGTCGGAGCTCTTCTTCGCAAATTCAGTCAGACGCTCACAGCGGGATTTTTTTGACTCGAGGTATTTAGTGTATATAGATATAGATGTGCATAATTCATGGTGTGCACTGAGAACTTAATGGAGTGTCACTGCAGGAACACCCCAGATGGCATCACAAAAATTCAGAATATTTTTCCCTGTGTGCAAATCATTTATCCTGGTGTATCCAGAAAGACATTTGTTGACTGTAAACATGAAGACAAGGACATCACAGACATGAATATGTGAGTCACAGTCTGCAGTTGTGCCTCTGTAAGCGATACTGTAATTACATACTGAGCACATTTTTTAATGTCGAGCAAAACACATTATGGCTGAGTGGAGTGCAGTATTGTGGACACAATGATAAAACACAATAAAATAGCTGTGACTTACACAAGACTTACATGATAGAGAAATACACAAAGTATGTATTAATGTATCTTTAATTAACATAATATTTATCTTTTTATGCACAAAGAGGACATTCATAGTTTTTTTTTAGTCTAACAGGAAAAATATTAAGACTTTTTTGGAAAAGAGTCTAAGAAAAAAGGCAAATTTATGTTTATCTGATGTTCTTTACATTTTTATTTTAAAATTTTCCCCTAGTTACCAAGACTCTGGAAAACAACTTTCAAATCCAAATATTATGTATCTCACACTATTATAAAAGCAAAGGAAAAATTCAGGTTTCCAGTTTATATTTAGGTTTTCCTTAAAACGATGCATATCAGGAACTGTTCTGTGCATTATTAGATTAAATTCTCATTTTTTGACTGAACTAGACCAGGCATATATATTTATGGAATAGGAAAAGTTGCTTACACCTCATGGGGCTGATGATGTGAACTGTTTCAGCTGCTCTCCATTTCTCTGGCAGGCTGTTCTAACAGCTCAGAGCTTGAAATTAAAGGCTGCCTCTCCCAAAGTTTTTCTCCTACGCGTTACAGTGTTTCAAAGAGTCGAGCCTGGAGGTTTCATAAATCGTAAGCATGTTAGATTGATCCGAGTCTCTAAAACGTTATAAAAGTTACTCTGTTTGGTGCGTCGCCTTTCAATTAGATGCAGCTTGTCATGTGACTGTTTATGGTTAATTAATCATTATAGATTTTCTCCTTCATAAGTTTCTCTTTGTCTGCTTTATTTCTCTGTCCGTAGGTCAAAGAAAATAGACTTCGGTCCTCATGACTGGCATTCGATGCCAGTTTCTGGTGCTCAGACCTGGTTGGTGGTGCCAGGGCTGGAGGCTGGGACAGAGTACCAGTTCAGTGTGTTGGCTCAAAACAAACTGGGCACGGGCCCATTCAGTGAAGTTGTGACAGTCACCACTGCAGGTGGGTACTGCTAATCAAAGGATGTTCCAGCCATGTTTGCTGCTTTTTGACTTCAGAATCAACCCGCTGAGTTGCACTGAGACACTATTTCTAATTTTAGACTATAACCAGACACAGTGTGGAATATACTGCCCTCTAGTGATGGTTAAACTCATCCTGTCCTATGCTTAGTTGTATTGTTTAAATGTGAATGCTGTACTCAGATTTCCAGATGAGATACAGTCCAATGTGATTTTGTATGTTTGTATGTGCTCATCTCCATCACCTTCAAAAGCTCAGAGCAACAAATTAAATGAACAAATGCAGCCACAGTGGCTGTATAGGTTTATTTAAGCCCTACTTTACAGTTCTTAAGCTTACTTTATTATGTAATGCAGGCTACCTTGTTGGTAGAGGTTGTTGGACATGATGACTGCCCACTAATCTGCATTTTAGTTACTTTTAATGTTATATTAGAAACACTCTGCAGTACAAAATGCAATAGTTACTTAGTGAGACTCTTTGTATGTTTTATTGTAGAAATGAAATGTATATTGAACCCGTAAGTTTATCCGTATCATCTGATTCAGAAATAATGGAAGTTACAAGAAAGATAGAGACACACTTGTGTTGTTTACATTTAAACTGTTAACAAATTGGTGTCACAAAGTTTTTTAGGAAGATTTCCAGACTGTAATAGTCATTACAGTCTGGAAACAGCTAATGGGGATGTTAATTAATAATGTTAAACATGAGATCCTTCAGACACTTTGAATGGCCAGACAGGAAATGGAAGAAAAGCCGCAGGTGGTAAAGCCTTTGATAGATGTCAGCCAGAGGCATTTTTGATCTTGTGTAATAAATGTTTGCCTAAGGAGCAGCCTGCTTGTGAATTCAGCTACATGGGGCTAGTTTGAAGAGGATCTTGACTTGAAATATAGTGTTTTTGCTTTGTTTTGTTGTGTTTTTCAATATTACCTTATTAAGTGATCAGTTTCTAAGCAGTAAAGTGTTAAATTATAACAAGACTACAGTATTACTCTGAGGGAATTGTTTCTATTTATTCGTTTAAGCCAGCGGTCTGCAACCTTAACACCCAAAGAGCCATTGGGATTTGGTTTCCAAGCAAAAGAAAACACTGGGAGCCACAAATGCTTTTTGAAATCTAAAATGAAGATAACACTGTATATATTGTTTTTTACCTTTATGCTTTGTGTGAACAACTAAGGTGTGTTGCTTATGAAATCCATGAAGTGCTACAGAGAAAATTACATTTTATTTATGTTATTAACACATTTTGAACTCTTAAAGAAATATAACAAAAGGAGAGACACCCAGCTGAACTAAAAGGATCCATGTAGCAAACAAAAACTGTTGTGAGCCACCACCCTTATATCGCCTTTGGGCTTTTGGAGCCTTGACCTGACTTTTAAAACATATTTGGAAAAAAAGCACTATGCTGCTGAAAAATGAAAAATAGATATTTGCAAAATTCTGCCTAAATATGTATTTTACCTGGTTAATGTGTGTGGCGGGGCGTGGTCTGCAGCGCTGCTGCAGGGGAGGCGCCTTAACGTCTGTGCTCTCTCTGCTGTTGTGTTGGTGTGTGTCGGGCTGTGAGCTGCAAAGCTACAGCCGGCTGTATGCGTACAGCAACCGTGTGTGAAAAGTGGTCAATAAAGAGATGCTAAAGAGCGTGTTCATGGAAACATCGTCGGGTCTGCCGTAGTATGTTTACAATGGGACTTCTGCTTCTGTGCAAATCGGGGCTTTACAAAGTCACTTTCATCTTTACGCAGGACTGTAAGCTGTCATCTGTGAGGCGTGAGCGGTGTTTGTTTTTAACATAGTTCACGGAGGAGAATAGCTGCTGACATAATGTAGATCCGAAGATCCATAATTGGCCTACCTGGGGTTGAAAGTCTCGATAAATGCACGGCGTTTCGGCGGGTATACCGGCTTCAGCGAGTGTGACGCTTATTTTGAGCGATGAAAAAATAATAGAACGTAATTTTATTTTTATATTTCAATATCACAATAATCTTCCAATTTAGAACTACAAGTTAAAAAAGAACTAACATAAATAAAATACACTTCAGCTAAATACTTCTAATTTATTTTCCCAAACCACGCGGAGCCGCACTATAAGGACTAAAGAGCCGCATGCGGCTCCGGAGCGCAGGTTGCCAATCCTTGGTTTAAGCAAAGAAACCTGAGAACCAACATGACAATTGATTCATTCGAAGGACCTAAATGCAATAAGATCCTTATAAATGAACCAAAGTTTCAGGTCAGAAAGCCTGTTGTGACTGTCCGCTGCTGCTACACTCACATTTTCATGAAAGCTGCACAAAGCTGTTTGTTTTCCAATTTTTACCAAAATAAAATTCTGTTCTTTTTTTTTTTTTTCATTTGGCTTTTGGATGGCCCCCCAACTTATGTGCACATACCCCTGGGTATGTGCACATAATGCCCATTGGATAATCCGGCCCAGATGGTGGGGGTACTTTTTGCCTCGTGAGCCCTGATTCGGCCTCACATTGCCAACTGTTTTCCTTCATTTAGCAAATGTTAAATGAGGTCTGCAAAGTTCTGACCTAATTCACACTCTCAGATGGAAACCAGTAGGCTTCTGCTGTTTAATATATTTCTCCACGACCTATAATGACATATTTTGAGTTAACCAATCAGCTTTGATTAACCTAAGAAATGTAAGAAAAGTCAATGCTCTTTGTGTTGCTATTTCTGATTTCTTGGTAATCGTTACATCCAAAGTGTACTCTGATGCTCCATTGATGGAGGTCCCTGAATGGAGCCCATCCAGAGTTTTTATCTGGACCCTATCTAACTCTTTAAAAAAAAAAAAGTGATCACACGAGCAACATCCTGTAACTTTTTTTGTTTGTTTGATTTTTTTCCCCCATTGAATACATTTTCATAATGCATGGTTGGTTCACAGGCTCTCCTCTGGGTACCCCAGAACCACTGGTGCTTCTTACTCCACCACGGTGCCTCACAGCCAATCGCACGCAGCACGGTGTCCTCCTCACGTGGCTCCCTCCAGCCAACCACTCCTCGCCCATCGACCGTTATATCATGGAGTTTCGCCTTGGGGAGAGGTGGGAGGTTCTGGATGACTTAATCCCTTCAACTGAGACCGAGCTCATAGCCAGAGACCTTGTTCAGGTCAGTATATGGAAATTTAGCTGTGTAACTTTGAATCCTAAGGAGTAGAAAAGTAGTACTTTTTTGTCAATCCAATTAAGGAAAAGTAGCTCCTCTTTGGTATGCAAACAGTTATAAATAAGAAGCTGCTTTCAATATATCATGTGCAGCAAGACAATGCCTTATAGTCTGAGCACAATACCCTGCATTGCAGCGCATCTCTGCATCTCTCTGACAGGAGTCCTGGTATGAATTTCGAGTAATGGCCGTTATGGATGACCTGATCAGCGAGAGCAGCAATGTTGTGGGAGTTTCTAGCACAGGTGAGTGTCTTTGTGCTCGGCCCTTATGAATAATCTATTTTTAAGTTGTTACTCCATATCTCCTTTTATGCTCTCAGATCCCTTCCCTGCTCCAGAGTTGCCAGATGAGGGTTTGGCGCGACCTGTGGTGGCAGGAGTCGTGGCAACTATCTGTTTTCTGGCAGCGGCGGTACTGTTCAGCACTCTAGCAGCTTGCTTTGTCAACAAGCAACACCGTCGCAAACTCAAGCGCAAACCAGGTCAGTCTCCCCTTTCACTTAAATTTACATAGATTAGGTAAAAGTTCATGTTTGACTGTGGATGGGTTTATCAATGGGCTCAGAGGCACAAAGAAAAACACAAAGCAAGCACAAAGAGACAAAAAATGACAACAAAGAGTAACTAAGAAGTAAATTGTTTGCAGTTGTTTTTGGTCTTTTTCAGTCTGTCTTGCTTTTTGTGTTGCTGGGCGGGGGTCCTTTATCGTCTGCGCCCAGAAGCTCATTGTCTCATAATTCATCCCTGTGACTGACTTTTACCTGTGGTGTTCATTAGAGAAAATCCTAAACTTAAATGTGTTTGTCCTCTCAGATCCTCCCTTGTCGGTGACACACTTCAGGAAAAGCATTGAGTCGCCGTAAGTAAAGCTACCCCAGAGCCTCTCCTGTCTGCTAGAGGTCGCCACTACTGTTCGTCCTCTCTTACACCTGTTATAACTATCTGTGCCCTTGCATGCTGTGACAAGTCATACACGTTAACATTAAATAACACTCAGTTCTGACCTGTCACCTGAAAATACCTTTTGGAGCCTACTGGGAAGAATTGATTTTTACCCTCAGCATGTTTTCTCCAGTGCTTTTAAACAACAAGTCGGTATCTAACATGGTATATCTGAGGAAAGTCTTGAAAATGAACCAAAAAAACCCCCATTGATGACATGATTGGGCTTCTTGGTAGGTGTAAAAGAACATGAACAGTAGCAACCTCTAGCGGATCACGGGAAAAATTAAGGAGAGTTCAAAGCAGCAAAGTCTGCATTTTAAGCACATTACCCAGAGTGCTCAAGCTGCAGTATGTGTATTGATTTTTGATCCATCTGTATTCTTTAACACTGTCTGCTTTCTGCATGATTCTCAGTGTTTAATGATGCTGTTTCTTTGTACAGTATCAGCTACACGTGTGTACCTGTCTGTCTGTATATCTTGTGTACATGTATGACTGCATTTCAATCTCAAAAGAAGCTCCTTTCTGACTCTAATCTGTGTAAATCCCATTGCAGAGTAAATGTATGTTTGCTTGTGACTTTAAAACCTAAAACATCAGTATCAGATTACTTCTTTCTATTTTTTCATGAAATGGTCCAGGCTGCTCAGGGAGTTTACACTTAGTCCTTCCAGCAAGTAGCATAGTTAAAGATGAACCAGGCCCGTGTCGTTTGTTTCCCATCGCAGGCCTCCTCTCACCCCCTTGCCAGGGGTAGAGCCCTGCTGGGACGAGCCTGCCAGGAGCAGTTTCTTGCCCCCGCCGGCCAGCCCCCTGTGAGTGCCTGCCTGCACCAAAATACAGAGTGTGCTGCACTGCACTGGCTTGGCTGCATGGTTAATGCATTGCATAGAAATGATTAGCTCACAGTGATTATTTGTAGTTGTAGGGGTGCCTACTATTTGCATGCACAGACTTCCATGCACCATACAGGGATTAAATTGCACTAGCTCAGCTGCATGTACAGTACAGTACTGTGTATATGCACTCACATTCTAATTGATGTCTACCCGATGCATTCAGTGACCCAGTACAGTAAGTGTCGAGTATGCTGCTCCTGGTGTGGGCAAATGAGGCCTGGTTAGATGTCATCTGCTTTCCACACATCACCATTTGGTGCAGCATATGGAAATTGGTCTCACGTCTGCTCAAGAAGATGTAGACTCAGTAGATCTGTGATACGGTTGTCATGGTTGCGTTGTTGGCTTTTCTCTCATCCCGTCACTCTTTGGTTCATTAGCTGCAGCCCCTATCAGGAGTCTGCTGCCGCCATAAACTGGCCATTATACCGTAATGAAGTTCATTATGGCTGCCTTGATCGAGCGCTTTGGCTTTCTACTGTGTCATCTGTTTACAAACCGCAATCATATCAGTTTATTTCAAGTATCAGAGATTTTTGGGGATTTGTTTTAAAATACTCCTACCACTATCCGCTTCATCTGTTATGTGTTAAATTAAGCCAGCGTTCTGTGTCTGCATTTTTATTTTTTTTTATCAGGTTATCATCGGGGAAGATAAGTCCAGAGAGCTCCCCTCCATCTCGGCCCCGTTCTCTTTCGTCGGAGGGTTCCCACGGTCCGGGCCTGTATGTCAGGAAGCTCCCGAGTCCTCAGAGAGAAAAAGAAAAAGAGCTCTCCTTCTACAAGAAAACCAAGCGTGCCATAGCCAGCAAGAAATACAGTGTGTCCAAACATGAGGCAGAGGTCACCACGCCTATTGAGCTGATAAGCCGTGGCCCCGATGGCCGCTTCGTCATGGAGACCAGCCCACCTCCCCGCCGCATCCAGGGCTTCCCCTTCGCAGAGGAGTCTGACATGTACCCTGAGTTCCGGCAGTCCGATGAGGAGAATGATTTTGACCCAGGGCCTCTGCCGCCCATCATGCCCACGCTGCGGCCCCAGCTCTCCCCAACGTCCTCGAGCCTGGAGTCAACGCAGCCCCCCACCTACAGCCCCCGCCTACACAGGCCCATGGAAGGTATGAGCTTTGCAGAGGGCAGTGCACTTCACGCCTCAGGGCAGGCCCCGGCCTCCCGCTACAGGGGCTTTCCCCAGGGCCCATTCTATGGGTATCTAGGCAGCCGCGCTGAATCAGGGATTCCACCACCATTCTACATGCCTGACATCAGCCCACGTAGCTCCGCTCTATCCTCACCCCCAGGCACCGCCGAGGGGCCCTTTGGTTACCCCTCCATCCCCGAGGAGAGTGGAGAGATGGAGCACCATCAGTACACTGCCTCTGGCCATTCTCTGTCTCACACACACAGCCCTCCTTCTCGCTCACCCGAAAGCTGGCAGCCTCATGAGTTACCCTTCCTGGGTCTAGAAGGTCCACGGTTCATATATCCACCTCACCATCCGTTACATCACCCCCAGGACCTCCCTGACCCACCCCCATATCCTCCTCACTCTCTCCCTCCCAGTCGCCTGCACCTCCCACACCTAAAGGATCCAACAAGCCCTGGACTCCTGCAGCTGGAGGTTCCTGTGGCTCCCCCAGGCAGAGACAGGCCCCCAGGGCCTCCGGTTAGGCGTTTAGCTATGCAACAGGCCCAGAGTCTCGGCCAGCTCAGACACACGGCCCACGGTGTGGGTGTACCAGTGTTGCCTTACCCTGACCCGGCAGTCCGTGCAGGGAGCCCAAGCACAGCCCCCAGTAGTAGCCCTCAGTCCTGGCTCAGCCCGAGGGCGGGGCGCCGGGCAGACCCCAGCCTACCCCCACTAGTACTCCAACCCTCCCGCCTCTCTCCACTCTCCCAGAGCCCACTTAGCACCCAGCCGGGTTCCCCAGATATTCTTGTAAGGCCTCCTCCGCGCCCCAGCATCCTCCGCACCTCTCGGTCTCTGGAGATGCCTGAGATCACCCTGCAGCCCTCGGCTACTGTCAGTTTCTCTCGGAGGTCCTCCCTGACCGCCTCTCCTACTCAGAGCCAGGGCGCCAAGCAACCCAGCCCCAGTTACCACGCCCACATGTCCTATGCCTCCACTGCAGCCAGTTACCCCTCCCAATCCCCCTCTCCCCCTCCGGAGGGCAGGGATGTTTTCGGGCAGAGGCCATCCCAGAGAAGGACAGAGGAGGAGATGCTACCCTCAGAGCCCTCCCAGCTCCAGATATCAGCCTCAGGGTAGGTGATCCATTGCAGTAGAGAATAGTCACACATTTTTTTAAGGAGGAGACTTTTTGTCTGCTCGCTAAATATCCTCAGTATCACTTTGATGTTTCCATTAAGAAGTAATTAAGATGCATATTGTACTTTAATATGCAGAAGGCATGTAATTGCATTTAGCACACATTGTGTCAATTCATTAAAAAATATCTAAACATTAACATTGAATAGCATGTGAAAGCTCAGTGTGATTATAAGATCATGTATTTTTGTATATAGTACTGATGGCTCGTAATCAATAGAATCGATGAACTATTGATCATAATTCAAACTTAAATCAACTTTAAAAGCCATTTTTTCTGTTTCCCATGTTGAATCTAAAATCTTTGAGTTAAAGTATTTTAAAAACTGAGTATAAATTATATTAAATCGGGTCGGTTTATGAAACTAGTGTTTATAGGTTTAACCTCAACAATTTACTGTACATTTAATGAACAATTACATTTATTATTTATACAATTATTCTGTCACCTTCCAGACTATTTATTCATGGATAATAAATTGCTTACTTATTCATAACTCAACCAATATTAGAGCTAGTAGCTTATAGCCGCTTGCAGCAGAACACTTTTCTGCTTTGTTGAAGAAGATTGAAATTGTAAAAGTCTATATTGTAGCTTAGCGATGGAAAGAAAGTGTAGAACAAAGCAGTTGGTAGTTTGTACACATTTAGTAGTTGACACATACTCATTGTGTTATGTTATTCATTAACTTCCGCTTCTTGCTCATAAACTAATAAGATTGTTTTAAAAAGAATTAGTAAACAATTTATGAACAAATAATGAAGCCATAATCTCAACTTATCAATACTTTATAAGGATGGATAACAAACCATCTGGTCTATAGTTATACAGTTGGATGAGTTGTGTTTATAATAGTAAAGTCATAAATAGAAGGCTCTGTGTCTGTCACTTGATCATAAAAAGTAAGATGTTAAATATATCCTGGGACTCCCACTTTTCTAGAAGGTCCAAAATTGGAGCGCTAAAGAGGCAAACGAAGTGTTTTGAGGAAGATGACTTGGCAAAATAGTTCACTTTAATCCGATGTATTGCAGAGTGATTTATTAACCATTAAATTAATATATTCAAAAATAATTAGTGTCAAGTTATAAGGCATATAACATATAATGGCTGCATTATTAGAAAGTGGCATCCGTAAGGATAAAAACCGACTAACCCGCTTAAATAGAACAATAGAATTTTTTTCTCGTAGTATTGGTAGATCAGTGGCCGTGCACATTTACTACATAAAGGAGGAAATGTTATGCTTTACACCCACATTTAAACACATCTACACCCCGTAGAGTTTCTTTACTGCACACACTCCTGTGGCCCCTCACACCCACCTCACTACCCTAGAAGCTACAATCACATGGTAGCTAAAGCCATGCAGCAGAGACTCGCTCCTGCACTATCACTGGCCTTTAAGGGAAAGTAGCTTATAGGGCTGCTGCTTTTTAGAGGGTAAGGGTCTTACCTGATTTGTTTTTGATTGATCTCAGCTATCTGGGCAGCGTTGTTGTGACCCGGTCCCCTACGCCGCAATAGGTAAGGGTCGGACCCATGTCTGAGAGGGGAGGGGTCAGCAGGGGGAGGGCTCTAATCACTCTCTCCTTTAAAGGGGAATCGCTTTGGGTTGTGCCTCTGTGCTGGATTCAAGTGAAGTGCAACTAATGGTAATAATGACTGCAGGACACATTTGTCAATACAGTTTCAAGGCACAGTAAGCCTGCTGTGGTGTAGGCTACAGTAATTAGGCTTGTGAGCAAGCAGGAGGAGTGGTTTTGGATTGTGGAGAAGCATTTGATTTTGTCCTTTTCATTGTTTGAACGCAGACATGTTTCCCTGCACTAAAAAAAAAAAGAAAAAGCCTTGAATCAATAGAGGACGCACATGAATGATAGACTGGAGTATTCCCCTTTAAAGTTTTGTTCCATGTGCAAAATGCCATGCATGCATTCTCTAAACTTCTCTCTACAACCAAACAAATAACAACAATTCTCAAACTAAATTCTTTGTCACATTTGTTGTCCTAAGTGCTTTCGTTTTTTCTGTCATGTGACTGTTTTTAATGGCCATTTCCTCTTCCTGTCATGTGACTTGTTCTTTAACGGCCATTTCCTCTACCTGCCATCTCCTCCCGTCAGCATGGTGAAGCCTCTGTACGCAGTGTTCATGTTTCTGAAAGTGTGCTGTATAGTGTTTATGTCTATGGAAATGAGCAATATTTTAACACTGTTGCCTCGGCACACAGTTTATGTGATGATAATGGAAATGTTCTCTAACTGTCCAGGACTGTTGCAATTCTCCGATTTGTCTCCCCCTCTCTGCTAATGGCTCTCAATCTTTCTCTCCACAGTGACAAATGATGGACAGCATCTCTAAAGCTTTGTGTTCCCATGCCTTTTGAAACAATACATGTTTGGCGCGACAACCTGACTTAATGAAAGCATTAAGTCAGGTTCGACGCTGTTTGCATTCAGTTCTTTGAAAGGCAAAGAGCCAACAGTGAGCCTCGTGAACACAAGCTTAACTTTTGTGAGGTTATTGGACTTTTTTTTATTTAACTTTATTGCATCTTTCTATGAGAGAGATGGACAACAAAAGTACAACAAGCGTATTCCAGTACGAGGTAAAACTGCTTCTAAGCAGACCACTGGAAGTGAGGATACCTTGACGTGATGTGATTACTTTGTGCTGATTAATTAATTATTTTCATTCAACTTCGCATGCATCACTCATGAAATGAAAATAGTTCTCAAGGTTTCAGGAACACCTTCCTGTGTGTTTTCTGTTTTTTGGTTTTTTGAAATGTGCAGAACTTTCATGTTAGGACGCAGAGCAATCAGAGAAATGCAGAGTACATAAATGGACTGCAGGGGTTGGCAACCGTTTTTTATGATGATAAGTTTGACCTCATCTACAATTTTATAATATTATATGCACAGTTTGGGTTGCAAAATTATAGCCATAGCTGCGATGCAGCTGACTAATAAGTAAAATACAGAAATTTTCCCAGTAATTAAGTAAGTAACAGTTAGTGTGGACAGAGGCAAGTGTTAAAGGAATTAATTAAAGCCTCTTTTATGTAATCATCTTCTCTGACTTTGAGTTGAAAACAGGGGTGTCAAGCATAAGGACTGGGGGCCAGAATCGGCCCGTTAAAGACTCCAATTTGGCCCTCTTGAGAATGTAAAGGAGTGTATAGATTTTGAACTTCTAACTGGCTTTTCCTATTGACAAAGATCTTCCCATGTCCATTCATACTATACAAAAGCAACTAAGGAATAAATAAACATTTAAATAACAGAGAAAACTCAATTCACTTTTATTTATATAGCCCCAAATTGCAACATCAGGGAAAACTCCCTTTCAACAGGAAGAAGCATCCAGTAGAGGCAGGCTCAGGGAAAGACGGCCATCTGACGGGGTGGGGGGAGGAAGACAGGACAAAGACATGATGTGGAATAATATTAAAAATAGATTAATAATAACTAATGCAGAGTGGTGTATAAACATATAGTGAGTGAAAAAAAGGGTGAGTGAGGAGTAACAGTCAGTGCATCATGGGAAGCCCTCAGCAACCTAGACCTATTGCAGCATAACTAAAGAAGGATTTGGGGTCATGTGATCGAACCGTAACTATACGTTTTGTCAAAAAGAAATGTTTTAAGTCGAGCTGGTTCCACAGAAGAGGGCCTTGAAGCGGAAAGCTCTGCTCCCCATTCTGTGTTTAAATACTCACAAATTATCCAGCAGTGGGAGAACACAGTGCTGCATTCGGGTGAAATGGTACCATAAGGTCTTTAAGATAAGATTGGGCCTGATTATTCAAGACGTTGTATGTGATGAAAATTATTTTAAATTTGATTCTGGGTTTAACAGGGAGCCAATGAAGTGAAGCCAGTATGGGAGAAATATCCTGTCTCTTTCTAGTCCCTGTCAGTACTCTTGCTACAGGATAGAAATTTCTGTGAATTAACAGAAAAAAACTTTATTACATTACATTTTATAATTCCAGGGAAATGAGCTACCAGACCTTTTTCTGTAATTTTACCCATTAATTTCTTTCAATTTAAGCCCAATTTGCCATTTACTAAATCAGCATTTCTGTGTCATGCACTTGAAGATATCTGAGGGACAGGGGAGGATTGTATGGCAGCCTAAAGACCTCTCAGCATGAACTGTATGGTGCTTGTAAAGTCACATTACCATGTCAGCAAGTCTTTTGCTGATTCACCAAAACAAGATAACAAGAAGCCCTTTTATTAGTAACGTTTAGCAACAGGGCAACCGCCACTTACACATTATATTTAAGGCACACATTTCTTCAGCCCACAGCTGAACACGTTTGAAAAAGTGACCCCAAATTTTGATTGGTAGTTTGTATTTTCTGAACCATTGTCCGTCTCACGGGCCACTACTTGAAAACGAGATTGTGTGCTGACGCAGGTGACGGTCAGAGGTTGCCGACCCCTGAACCTACGGTCTAGTAAAAATAGCGCTAATAGAGAATTTTGTACAATTCTTTTAGACGACTTCATTGGTACAGGAACTGTCAAGTTCCAGAAATTATTTTCATTTTATGAGTTTTATACAGCAAAGAGGCCAATATTGCTCGCATTTCTGAAGCAGTCACTATTTAAAGACCCAAATGTTAAAGCGTTGGCTTGCTGTAAGCTAAGCACGTTTCTTTTATAGTTTTGTCTCTAAGACTTGATGACATCCCAGATTTTAAAGAGTGTTATTCCACCAAAATCAGAAGAAAATGAACTGATTGAATGAATTGAATTTGAGAACAAATACACTTTAATTATAAATCCCAGAGTGGGTCTTTAACATAATGATTGTTTAAGAAAAACAAATGTATAGCCAATAATTCACCAACTCCACTGCCACCTTAAGTCAACTATTCTTTCTTTCTCTTTTTCATTCTCTTTCTTTCTTTGTATCTAACTTTTCTCATCCATCACCGCAGATAGAAAGTGGAAATTCATCATCTTAGTGAAAGGGCTCTCAGTAGAAGTTCAAGAGCTCATCAAATCATATGATAGCACCTTCTGGAAATAGAAATGAAAGTGCCATTTTGTCTGTTCTCTCTGAGACGTGACCGAACACGACTGTTGGATTAATCCAGAACAATGTGTGCTGTGTCTTTCATCTTCTCAGGGAACCTCTAGGTGCGTCTAGCGATACTGCCGGGTCTGAGAGCTTACCAGCACTGCTACAACACTGTATTACTAAAGCCAAGGGAGTGGCTGCCAACAACAATAACAACACAACCTCCGGAAGGAGAACAGGTTTGTCTGACGATCGGAGAGCAGCCACAAAAGATTACCGATCAAACGGCCGTCCTGTGTATGAGTCCTTTGCCTCTCTTTCAGGTGCGTCTCTCTCTCAGACCCAGCAGCAATCTCAGACACCCCAAGAGGGAGAGGATCTTAACCTCCCGAGAAAGAGGAAAAAGCAAAACAAGAAGAACCCCTATCTCTATTTGACCTCCTTCCTGCGCCGCAGGCAGTTCGAGGAGGACCAGACAGGCATTCTGGCCAGTGCAGACTCAGAGGGCCCAAATTATGGGACTCTACGCTGACCCGTGTGCCCAACAAGCCATTGGACTCGACTAAACTGACCACCCCTGAGAAATCCCATCTCAGCACGTCCTGCTCTACCCAAATATCAAACGAATACCTTTCTTATAATCCTTAAAAAGTTAATCTGCGTTTCGGGGAGTGGGAAACATTGAGCTGAATACTCCGGGGTTGGAAGACAAGAACAATGGCTTTTCCGGGTTGTCCCTGCAACTTGTCTTTGAGGAATTTCACTTGAAAATGCTCTGAAAATATATAATGTATATAAATAGTAAAACAAGGGAATTAAGCTTCCTCCTACAGTAATAAAAAAATGTGTTGGTTGAGTATGTCACAACACGTTCAAGATTTTTCACTCACTGGTCATTGAGGGGTCCATATCTTTAGGTTTTTCAGTGATACAGCGTACTGTTAAGCCTGGTGCGTCCTCGGACAGGGACATGAGTCTACCTTTCCTACAATACAAATAGATTCAGTATTTAAACACAGGGTTCTTACCACAAATATACCTCAGAGTAAACGCAGATTTGCTGTAATTCTTGTGGTATACTGTACGTACTTGACCTTTTTACATATGGATAAAAAGGTTTATATCACACGCCACTCTCATTCTCTCAAACGGATAATATGGCCTAACTTTATCTACTTTAGAAGCTTTTTATTACCAGTAAAAGCTAGCATATTGTGTTTGTTTTGATTTGTGACCCGATGCCAACAATTAGAGGAAGGCGTCTTCATTTTACTGCGCGATGGTTCAAGTGTGTTTACAGCACTGCGGCGCTGCGTTAAGACAAAGATCATAACCTTCACGAGATCGCTCAAACTAACTGGGGACTCAGATGCTCAGCGGAGGTTGGACTTGAAGGGTCAGAGGGACGGGGGTGACAAATTGTGAACTGTACTGTATGTATTTCATTATTAAGGAAATCATTTGTGAAACGCGGCACAGCTCGAGGTGCCTTTTTGTTTTTGCCTTGTATTTATCTGTTGTGTTTGCTTATTTTTTCGAACATAAACTGCCTTTTTCTTCGCCTTCTCACGCTTCTCTCACTGTAGGAGTGAGGGAGTCCGATAGCGTGTGTGTGTGTGTGTGGTTTTACTTTTTCTGCCAAGGACTCACGAGAGAAATCGCTACGGAAGATGCATGAACACTTGTTTTGTTTTCTTTTAACATGGGCTTGTGCTTCAACTGTGTATATCCAAATAATAGGATAGAACCAGATTAAAACCTATGAAAAACAATTTTTAAAAAAATGCGCACAGTCAGATTAGGAGGGGAAAAGGCAAATAAATCGACACATTTTTGCACTGTACATGCAAAAGATTTGATGCAAAAATAACCAAGCAGTACAGCGAGGATGTTAATGTTTAGCAGCAGCTCTTAGAGGAGAATGTGATTGTTTCTAAAGCTGTTAACAAGCAATGGGAAATATTCAAACGACGGCCACCTTGACTGTTTATCTGTAACAACTGTAGATTACTTGCTAGCTACTTCTCTGTGTGTTTGTTGATTTTTCGACACTAACCGATACTGAATGTATGTTTTGCTGTACAGGAAATGAATGTCCCAATGTCACAGAACATTGAATGACCCGTCATTATTGCTTCTAGTGTAGCTGAGATTGGTGAGGTGACCAGTTGGCGCATCAAGTCCAAATTCCTGTATGCAGTCCCACACGGTTTCTGAGCCAAGTCCCCGCTTTGATCTGCAGAAGAGGAAAAGCAGTTATCATCGTATTGTCACCGAGACATATCAAACAGTTTTTATCCCCCACCTCCTAATAACGACTCAAAGGTTTCCAGCTAAAAAAAAAAATCCGCGCGAATGACTCGACTCCACGTCTGCTCGCCGAAATCTTTTGACGAGCGAGAAAGCGGCGCTTGCCTGAAAGCGAGCGCCAGAAATTGGTTTCGTGTAAGATACGAGGGGAAAAAAAATCTATATTTGTTATGTACTGTACATGGTGTGTATTGTATTTGTAAAGATGACGCAAACCATGTTTTACAGGAACACGTTCTTGTATGAGGATGTATGAAAAGGATCCCACGGAAAAAGAAATTAGATTATATATAAAAGTATTTGCTTACAGTACGGCTTTAAGTGGATAATGTTTTTAAAACATTTTAAGGTGCCTAATTTGTCATACTTTAGCAGACGTTATTTTATCTGAGAAGAAAAGAAAGGTTCATGTTAGTACCGTACAGTGTGTTATTGCCATAGCCCGCTGGCTGCACAAGTTGAGTAGTATCCTCTCTGATGTATAGTACGTGAATGCCCATTGGAAAAAGCTTTAGGAGCAGAAGTGTGTTGCCCTCTACTATAATATTTCTGGAACAAAGTAATCCTGTATTTCGCCCGTTCACGAGCACACCTGTAGATTCACTCCAGATCTCTTCGCCTTCACGTGTCCAAAGCAAATAAACTTTTTTTCTAAGAGTCGAGGACATGCTAGAGTCCTGTAAAACACGTGCTGTGGAGGAAATTGTGTTTACATTAGTTCGATGACGAAACGTGTGTTAGGGCATAGTTGCTTTGAACATTACGACTTGGTGCTATGTTTAACTTTGTGGTGCTGTAGAATAGAGGTCTGAAGATTTTTTTTCCGTTCCCTGTTTCCACAAGCGACTCCGTCGGCCCCTGGTGTTTTTGAGCAACTAGACACTCTAGGCCCTTTTCGTTAATGGTATCATGGTGTGAAGACAGTGATAGACAATACTGGAAACTAGTAGTGTAACCTCAAATAATAGAGACTTGTGACATTCAGATGAACTCAAGACGACTTGTTTTCTATAGCGTGTTTGCAATGTCTGTCTGTGCTTCCAAGGTACCCTCTCTAAACGATGTTTGTGCTGATATTGAGACTATTAACCCAGCCTAAAAGGAGAAACATAACCTAATTTAGATTAGTACACGCCACAGGACACATGAGAAGGAATCTAAGAGCATCAGATCACGAGGGGATCTTTTCTACACACTTCCTGTAGGTCTTTGGTTAACAGCACTGTTTTTCAAGCACACGACTGCAGGGGCGCTACCGTCTCATGTCACACCGCCACCTTTTTTCAAGGTAGAATTGCTACTAGTACTGTACAGTATAGCCATGGGTAGTCACCAGTCCACATTTGTAATTATCCCCCTCGTAGAAAGGAATCGGGAAAGCTCATACATCCTCTTCCTCGTGGGTTTTTAAGAATGGATGTTGTCTTCCGGGCTTTTTTCCCTCTCTTTTGTTTTCCTTGCATCTTCAACAGAAACATGTACAGTGTTTAAGAGGGCTGCTTTGGATGTACTGTTAGCTCATTTCTGTTTGTTTTTTGATTCGTTTGTTTTCTCTCAATTTTTCTGCTTACAGCTTTTAGTGCATCACTAGGTGCTGGTAGGATGATACTTAGAAGAGATTTGTTTTTTTTCCTTTCGTTTAAATTGTATTAATCTTGCATGTAGAGACAATACAAAAACGCCTATTTAGCAATCATTCATGGACATCCGAGCTGGTTGTTATTGGACGGAAAATAGAAATATGTAGTATTTTCTATATTCTCTGTTTTTGTGTACCAGCACTGAGAACTAGAATGTATTATTATCGTAGGCTACAATAAGCACTACATCGTTGACTGTTTTAGCTAATGCTCATACTCAAGCAAACCAAGTAGTGCTTAATTAAAGGAAGAAAATTTACTACATTTCATTTCACTTCCATCCACTGAACTCTGTGCTGTACATCACATGTTTACATGCTGTATTATATGTTTTTATTTTGTTTTTTATGTGCATAATCTGTCTCCATAATGTTCATATGTAAATAATTCAAAGCAAAAACATTTGTCTGGTTTTTTTTGTTTTTCTTTTTTCTTTTTCTCTTTTTTAAAAAAAAACAACAATGACCTGATGTTTCTGTTTTGTTTTTGGTCAGTTTTTTAGACTTGTCTTTCTTTTCTGTCACCGCATCAGGTATTTATGCTTCACTTAACTTTTTGTGAGCAATTAACTCATACTGTATGGTGCTGTACCAAAGCCTTATGTATAATATTTGTATTACATTTTTTTCTCATTTGCCACTGCTCTCCAGTGAATTCGTCTCAGATCATGTCTTACTCACTCTTCATGTTCAACTGCCATGGATCTTGTTTCTTTATTGAGTAAAACTGAAACCTGAATGAACTATGATGTAAAAACCACCCTGGGCCGTTACCAACTGGCCTTGGATGTACAGCGGCAGTCGTTGCCATCTCAAGCCTTTATAGGGAAAACGCACAGGCTCACTTCCGGTGGCTCGTCATGACGTAGGCATGGGCTTAGCACATGCTCTATGCTCTATCTATGGCATGTCTGTGAGAATATGAAAGCAGTGTTGTGTTCATGTCACCATATCATTTCAAACGTTTAGTCCCATATGAAATTTTCCTCTCAAATTTTTGTATTTTGATATAATAAAAAAATCAAAAGAGGTCCTGTTTTTTCTGTGGTTTTGTGTGACCGGTGAAGAAGATGCTGTAGTTCATACGCTAGACACAGGGTGTAAGTGTTGGGCAGAGAGTGAGGATGGGATATGAGCAGTTTAATCAGGTCAGGGTTTTTTTCCTTTTTGTTGTTGTTGTTTTTTTTTTTTTTTATTTTAGGACACATGAGCAGGATGATTACAGGAGTGCCAGGTTTCGAATGACCTTTTTTCTTGAATTAAAAAAAAAGAATAAAAGTTATCCTGTGAATGTACTCTTAGATCCGACAGACACAACCAAGGAAGATCAAAGACTCGGTTCAAATGCATGCTTGTTGTTCAATGATTAATATCCCCACCCAGACTTTGAGGAATGAATTGTCCTGCGGCTGAGCCAGAACAAGGAAGACAAATAACCTGAAAGAGGATGAGGTCTGTCACACTGACCTTTGTGCTTTTGTTCAAATTCCCTCTGGCATGCTTGGAAGCAAACACATGCAGAGCCATCTGCATACACCTTAGGAAAATAAAAGTTCACCTAATCCGCTGGTCAAACAGACGACGTCACCTGCATTTCACAAAGATTGCTGAATAGACAGGGTTAATTGCTCTGTATCTTATTCCTGCTGTTTAAACTATGGCATTTTTTGTGTAAGTCAATAAAGCAAATGTGAGGGTGTTTTTATTTAAAGAAATGAATAAACATTATTTAACATTGAGTATTTGCCTAATAGTGGTAAATACCACAGTTTACCCGAGGCCTGGGAGCATCAGATATTCATTACAATGATACTATGATATGATGAATGATATAGCCCAAAATAAAATACAAAAAGCCCATTTTAAATAACATGTTTACATATCGGCAGTTTTCTGCCTCAGAGTTAGATGATAAGACCCAAATACATTTTGGATTTGTCTGGTAAATCCTTTAATGTGGCATAAGTACAGGATATGAGAGGGACAGGGGTGGTAAGTATAGCAGCTTTAATCGGTGAAAGGTGGCAAAATCGTCTTAATTAATTAGCAGAAATCCATAAACGGTGTAACTGTACAAACAAGGTTCCACCAGGAAACCAGCTAATAAACTAAACATCAGTTTGTTTGTTTTTTTGTTCAAATCACATTCAGAGCGACTGGACAACAGCAGGGCAGGACAACAGAGTATCTGAAAGTTACTCCATGTTTTTTGACCTTTAGAACAAAATATATTGAATGTGAGTGAAACATTACAAGATGAACGTGAACTGAAAACACACAGCAAGTGGGTGCAAAGACAAAAACACAGACAACTCCCAAAAACATGTTAAAGCTGTGGATGCATCACTAACGGCTGAATCCTGATTAACAGGTCTAGAGAACATAAATTCATTAGGAAAGGGTTTACTGAGGAAAAACAGAGTTGGATTTTGTGCGGGACCTGTGTGGTGTTTTTGCATATTCACTTTGCTCTGAAACTTGGCATCTCTTAGAAAATAAAACCCTGGGAAAAGTTATAACTTTACTAAGTTAACATTATGAGGTACATTAACAAGGCTAACCACTGGGCCTAATGACTAAAACCCAGGTTTTGACAAAACTTTAACAGGAGTTGAAGTTTTATTGGCTTCTTACAGCAGCTTGAGCCTTTCCTGTGAGTTCACCACGCTGCATACCAGCAGCATCAGACAGCAGTAACACACATCTGTCAGGTTCTCCAAAGGGACAGACTTCAGCGGGTTTGCCCAGGTGGCCTAACAGTACTATCTTCATTTATTATTCACAACTATGAAATGTATAGCATAGGTTCAAACAGCAACTGATTTGTCACACTTTCTATAACATCTGTCCTTTTCATCTTCTACTCAACTTTAAGTCAAATGTTTTTTTTTCCCCATTATTTTTATTTCACAGGTGATGTTATTACATATTCCAGTCTCCAGTGGATTATTTGCAGCAGTGACATTATTGTGGCTGTGGATGCAGCACTCTATGTAAATTAAGCCGAGCTGATGTTTGTGCAGGTTAGACGAGGCATTCGTTCAAGCTGCTGAAAAGGAAGGACTTGAATAATTTGTATGGTATCCTAACTAGTTACCAGGCAGTAGATTTATAATCAAAATTAATTTCCACATTTTGTCCATCTCCATCATATGCTAGCTACTTTTGGAAGAAAAATAAATAAAGAGAGAGCACAAACTGTTCACAGTATATTATGATGTTATTCAATGGTGCCAAAAATGGCTGTGCATGAAAACAGAAGCTTCTGTTAAAAAGATGGATTAGATCCTATCAATTATGCTAGCTGTATAATCGATTTTCAAAATTACAGTAGGCCAGAAATTTTAGTACAGGTTTGCAAGGACCATAAAAGGTCATCAAAAGGTCCCAGTGCTCCCACAGCCTAAAACAGAAGAGCTGAATTTCACATTACCTCCTTCAGTGGACAAGCACAATAGATGCTGTATTAGGATGAGTGACTTGCACACCAGGTTTCACTCCTCTCTGTTACCACCCACCTATTTTACAGGGTTATGTAATTCCTTACTGAGCATTACCTAATGCAGCACAACTTGCCAGACGGGGCTCTTCGGACTGGTGAATATTTCTCCAACAAGCGCTTGCAATACCCTCATGCCTGCCTCATATGTGGGTCCTTGACTTTGAAAGGTCTGGGAAGCCCTGAGGCTAAAACATCCTAGGCGCGGGCACGAGGTCAGCAGCGCGCGCTCCCGGCACCGAGTGTGCAGATTTCCCAGCCTTTCAGTCAGTCCGGTCGCGGCTCCCGGAAAGACTCCCACACTGCCTCAGCGATGCCGCACCCGGTCAACGGTTTTCTCCGCAAAACGTCTACCTCAGATGATCAGCCGTAGCCCGAGTGTGAGTCCGAGCCGCGCATTTCTGCAGTGCGATGCTGACAACATGTTTCCTCGTCGAGGAGCCCTGCGCTGTGCAGCATAGAGGAGGCAGCAGAGTGGAGCAGCGGGTACAGTTACAGGTAGGCTGCTGTTTGAGCAGGGATCGTAACTGGCTGTGCAGACATAACCACACCGGGTTTAATGTGCTGTCAACCGCCGAAGGTGTGACCATCGCGCGTATTTTAGACCCCCCCCCCACCAAGCTGATGTGATTCTTTACATTAGAGGTGACTAATGATCGTGTGTTTATGTGTGCGCGTGTGTTAAGCACGCAGCTGACCGCTGATCTGTCAGGCCCAACAGGTCAGAGTACACAGGCTGTAAAGTTTTCCCAGTGGATCCCAGGAGTCGGTTTACGGGACTGCAATATGCGCATGATTGCATCACAGGGAATTAAAACTGACTTTGTCTGTCAAGAGGATTTCGTTGCTGGTGTGTGTCTGTGAATCACTGTTGTGCAGTGCGTGGACACAGTGTAACCAAGACCCGTGTTATTTACTGCAACAGTGCAACACTTGCCCTGCAATAAGTGTTGTGACACCTGCACTTCCTGTATTCGAATTTCTGCCATGTGTTTATTTATTAGTTAGAAAGATCTTTAGTGTTTGAAGGCTAAGAATTGTATTGTAATTTGTGAGGCTGTGTTCATTATGTAAGATATGGCATGTGTGGTGGAGGCTTGAGTATAAAATAGCTGTAGAGTAGAAACAAACATAAAGCAACAGTTCTGAGTGAGATGCTACTGAAATATATTAAATGAACTGTTAATGTGTTAAATGTAATGTATACCAATCAAGTGAATTTCATTTGCCCAGATTCAATTAAATGTAAAATTTTACATTATACTTATGTAACAAAATCACATGTAATTACATTAGTCAAACACAGAAACAGGCAGACTTTTGAGTGAATGGTTAGTCCATCAATCCCTCAGTTAACTGAAATATGTTAACAACATTTGAGTAATCATATATATACATTTTAAATGGCTTTGTTTTTAAGACTGCAGATGCACCAGTAAAGACTTTGAGCTATTTGACATTCTGTACTAATGAACTATATTTTTATCCAGTTGATGACATTTTACACAACTCCCAGAATCCACTGGGTCCAGTTTGTCACTCGGGAACAATTATGTTTGTAATGTCTGTAGGACAAAACGTGCTATTTACAGACACTGTATTTGACGTTAGGAGATAAATGCATTGGAGATGTCGTAAAACAAACGATTCATCGTAGAAAATATTATTTAGAAATGTGTGTTGGAGTGTGTGGGCTCGCTGTAATAATTGCATTAGTCATATTCTATGGTAATGTTTATTTTGTGTAATGTGGTCCAGTCGACTGTACAGTACAGCCTTACAAATGCATTTCCACAGAGCTGAGTCAAAACCTCCCTGACAGCTGAACATGAGCTTTACAAAGTTTGTAGCTGTTGCAGGGATTGCTGTATTAGATTGCACTAGATTGTAAAGGGAGCTGGGATCTTGTCCTCTGGCATTCCTGCATTTTTTCTTTTTTTGTCTTACACAGTAAAATGGTCTTTTTTTAGACAAAGTAAACACTCGTGCTTATACTGGAAAGACCTTCATCTTACTGTAAGGGTTAGACTGTCATCCAGAGTGACAGATCAGCTTGTTGATTAAATATTTGGCTCTGTTGCATACAACTTAATCGCCCTGCTGGTCACCCCGCTCTCTGCCTGGCACCGGGGATCACTGTAACTCTGGAGGTTGCGGGGCAAAGGCCGAGCTAAATTTAATCTCACTGTGGTTTGATTTCAAGGAGATTATAAGATCAAATGACCGCTCGCCACCACCATCTCCTCCTCCTCCCTCTATGAAGTGATTTGAGCCCAAGCTTCAGTAACTACAGTTGATTTTTTATTATTTTTTTTAAACGGTATTATCAGAGAGCAGTGCCTCACCTGCTGTCTCAGTCCTGCCGTGTAGAGAAGCGACAAATAGACTGTCTGGTGATGTGTCGGAGCTTCTGGCCAAAGGTTCCTCTGAGGCATCATTTGCCTCCTTGTGCTTACCTCATCCTCAGTCTGGAGGAGCATCAAGTCACGATGGACGGGAGAGAGGTTACCATGGTAACCACAGGGCTTTCTCCTCTGCGTCTCTTGCCTGTGTTGACTGCAATCCAGAGCTCAGAATGAGAGCATGAAACCAAGTTTCCTCCATCGGCCAGCCACTTGCCTTTTGGGGGGGGTTCTGCAGAAAAAATAAAAGAATTTTATTAAAAGTGCAGTTTAAGCTGATACAGTCGGTATTTAATAAACTTCACAGATACCATGGCCATGTGTATGTGAAAGGGTCACATACCCAGAGACAGTTATCACTATAGACCGTATATAAGAAATGGGTATTGTATTTGGGTCTTAAAAGTAGAACCAGTGCTCAAGGGCCTTAAACCTGCTTTCTTTCTAATAGCAACTATTGGCAACTATGATATAGTCATCTTGTTTTTCCATTCATGACCTCAGTAAACACTTTGCGAATATATTTATTGTCCCAGTCACCAGTTTCAAGTCTTATTGAATCCAACACGAAGTTCATTTTGGTAATCATAGTTCCATGTAAAGTAAATAGTTTATAAAGCAGAGTATCTGATTGGCTGTCATGTGATTTAAAGTCACAAGTTTATGAGTGTGCCGTGCCCTCTCTCCTTATTCGGATTCACCCCTCACATGTGAAATGTAGTTTTAAAGGACCCTGATGGTGACGGGCAAAATGCTCCGCTCACAGATGAGTGGGTGGTGTCATGGTGACTCCTCCTCCCCATCTATGATTATCATCACACTTTGTTGTGTACCTCAGCTTCTCGGATAATTTCAGCTTTTTTCTAGCTCATTTTGGGTTTCTGACCTGCCATCTTAACTATTTTTGGCTCATTCTAACCACAACAGGCCTGCAAACCTGCTTCACACAGCCCAGCTAACACTGAAATACAGACACCCAAATGTGGTGAAAACAGCAGGACAGAGTGTAGCAGATTTACACTTATCATGTAGCCAGAAGTATTTGTTTAGGCGACTTCCAACAATGTGTGTTTTATCATCTGGCCAGTAAGGGATCAAATTTAAAAAGTAAAAATCAAACATTCTGCAAGCTAGCAGTGATAATTACAATGTAGCCTTATTGTTACTCTTTTTGCTCTTTCATTAGACGTCTGCTAATTCCATAATGAAGGTGTGATTACGTCATGTTACACTGTTTACTGTAGGTCCACAGAATGGGAGCGATTTTTGCATTAATATGTGCCAGTTAAATTCAATTTTTACAGAGAAAGGTAAAAAGACATTTTCATATTCCCTCTCCTTCTTCTTAGCTTCCTTGCTTCCTTGGCTTGCCTTCTTGCCTCCTCTCATATGTGATAAAGTATCTGTGACTCACTTAGACACATCTGCTGTGTGTTTGTAGCTACAAATATACAGGCAGTCATTCTTCTTGTCAGCACACATGCTGATAGCAGTTTCATAAACAGTGTGCACGACTGTGTAGGCTGCCCTGTTTTTCCTTAAAATGCCATCTAGGCCATCAGATACCGGGGTGACATCCTTTTACACTCTCTGTTGCAGTCTCCTGACATCAGAGCAGCACTACTTTTTTTCTTTTTTTTAAGTGACAGGTAGAGGGTTTCTTTATTTGTACATCTGGATTAGGTTTGCTTAACACATTGAAAATGACTGATGGAGATGTGGTGGAAAGATGATTTCTGCTTGACGTACAGCAGCTCTGCAGTTTTAGTTACATGGGTTTGATGCCTGGTTTGGCGGGATGGTGTTTTTCTCACCTGTACGGCTGCATCAATATGTGCTACCTGTTTCATTGCCAAGATCAACTAGAGTAATGACTTTTTTTTTACAGATGTGACAGCTTTATCTTTTTATAGCTCAAGCTATTTGGGGCAATTCCAAAATAGTCCTCCTGTTTTTTCCTCCATGTGTTGTGATTTTCATGATGCTGAGAGGTGTTTGGTATAGCCCTCAATCATATGTTGCTGTCGGCTATCTTCAGCTCATCCCCCACAAGTTGTCAGGCTTCTGTTTCTGTCAGGCAGCTTTAAAGCACACAGCTAGCCTGCCTCCTCTGCAGTGTGCAGTACAGCATGTTCCTATGCTTGATTCACTGTCTTATGCGGTGCCATCAGCAAGGTCAGGTATTGTACCATGTAGCACGCTTTTTTTTTTTTAAATCATGGAATGCACGATAAAGGAAATATTGTAAACAATGAAGAGATAATGCTTGGATTTTTTTGTGTTAACCTAGATTTTTAAGCTGTAAATAGAGGCACTAATTTTATTACATGTGCCTCTAGAGCCACATTAATTGGCAGCATACTGTCTTCACTTCTATATGACTTTCCAAAAAACCATTCCCTCCGGTGACCCTTATGACGCAGTGCTTGATGCAACACTTCTAAACAATAAATTCGTTTGCTGCTTGCTTGTATAGTACGTTGGCTCTCCTTTGGCAAGGTTACAGTGTCTATTAGAGAGGAGATGCAGTATGAGATGTGGATGAATTGGAGTCTGATCTGGCCCATATTCCTGTCTGCCTGCTCACATTCTGCTGAGTCAGGAGGCTTTGTAGAAGGCCGTCAACAGCAACTCAGTGAGGCTCTGGGCCAGAGGGGCTGGTGGGAAACTGCTACTACAGCAGCAGTTAGTTGGGGCTGACGAATCTACTTGTTACTCCAAACATTTCTGTGCTGGTTAGCAGAGCTGCTTAGGGAAGGTAAAACTGCCTTAGAGTTAAATGGAGGGATTTTTAGTGCTGGAGATGAACCTCAGAGGTGTGAAAAGAGGCTTGTTTTTTCCACCCACACGCCCTTTTAACATGCACTGTTTCACAATGCACACCCACATTGGTTAGAAGCTAGTTATGGGAAGATTGTGGTGCCGAGTTTGCTTAATCAGGGCATTTCTTCTGTTTGTTTACAGTACATAAGGAGGTCAGTAGTGATACTGGATTCCATTAGACAGTAAGATAGATCAGGGCCATATTGGTATGAGCCTTTCCAAATATGATGATTCTTACGCATTCTTACACTTAAAACTTTTTAAATATGAGTTTTGGAGTGTGAAGTTGGCATGTTCTCCTCATGTCTGTGTGGGTTCTCTCCTGGTACTCCAGCTTCCTCCCACAGTCCAAAGACATACAGTTGGTGGGATTAGGTTAACTGGTTATTCTAAGTTGCCTGTACGATTGAATGTGAGCATGAATGGTCGTCTGTTTCCTGTGTTGGTCATCCGACAGCCTGGCGACCTGTCCAGGGTGTACCCCCCTTCTCGCCCTGTGGTAACTGGGATAGGCTAAAGACCGTGACTTGGAGCCAAGCCGAGCACATAAGAAATAACCCCAGACCAAAATTGCACCTGGACAGCACCAGTATGAACCTTATTTAGTTGTCTGTGACTTGCAACAGACTGAAGGTCAGTACAGGGTATACTCTATGACCTCCCAATGTGAGGTGGTGCTTTGATAGGGATAAGAAAGAAAGAAGAAAGTGTTCTTTATTGATCCCCGTGGGGAAATTCCTCTCTGCGTGTAACCCATTCACTCAGTGAAGCAGTGGGCAGCCATCGGGCGCCCGGGGAGCAGTGTGTAGGGACGGTACCTTGCTCAGGGGTACCTCAGGGTAGCTGTTCAGGGGAATCAAACCTCCGACCTTCCGAGCATGGGGCCACCACTCTACCTACTGAGCTATCCCTGCCCCAAGATAACTAGAAGTAGATAATGGATGAAGTCCATATTAAGACGATAGCATTACACAGTTGCTGCAAATTTGTTGGCTGCACATCCATGATGTGAACGTCCCATTCCACCACAGATGCTCTATTTGATTGTGCAGTATACTCATTGTCATTTTAAAGGAATCAGCAATCAGAGGATGGGTACACTGTGGTCACAAATGGATGGACATGGTCAGCAACAATATTCATGTAAGCTGTAGCATTTCTAATCATGCCAGTTAACACTAAGGAGCCCCAAGTCTGTCAGGAAAAACCTCCCACACCTTTATGACACTAGCCTCAGTTTCCTGTTCTTAGGTGATTGGAGTCACACCTGGTGTGGTTTTCAGCAGCTGTAGCCCATCTGCTTCAAGGTTCAACATGTTGTCCACACATAGCTTGGTTGTAATGATTGATTATTTGAGTTACTATTACCTTCCCATCAGTGTGAACTATTTTGGCCATTCTCCTCTGATGTACGAAGTCATTTTTAACCAGAGTACTGTGCTCACTGTACATTTTCTCAGTTATGGACCATCTCTGTAAACCTTACAGATGGTTTTGTTGGAAAATCTCAGTGGATCAGCAGTTTCTGAAATACTCAGACCACCAACAACAATGCCATATTCAAAGTGATTTGAATCATCTCTATTAACAATTTGGATGCTCAGTTTAAACTTAAGCAGGTTGTTCTGAACATTTCTACATGCCAAAATTTATTGAGTTGTTGCCAGTTGTTGCTGATAAGATATTTGCATTTACTAGCAGCTTAACAGATGCACCAAACAAAATGGCCAGTGAGTGGATATCTATGAGCAAAGATAATGATGCTAAGTGAACTAATTTTATCCCGGGGCTCATACTGAAACTGCCATGACAGCCTTGACATTTTCTTGAAGGTGGATGTTTTCTCCAGCTAACTCCTGTCAGAGCAAAAATGATTGAAAAAAAAAAGGAAGAAAGAAAAGAATCTGATATTCTCATGAAATCATCTCATGAATGTGCCGTCTGACATTCTTTATATCCCTGAAGCAGCTCCTGGCACTGTAGCATGATGTCATCGCAGATTACAGTCTGGGCTATGTGAATTGTAGCCTTGAGAGTCGCGCACGCTGCAGCCTCAAGTGTGTTAACGTCTGGCGGCTTCATAGGATCGGACTCCTTCTCCCATGCTCTACTCTTACGCTCACCCACCCACTCTGGCTTTGTCTCCCTCCCTCTCCTCCCACTCACGTTTCTCTACAGCGGACAGTTGCAGAAAAGCAGCATCATGGAGGCTGGATGCGTGGTTGCCGCGGTGATTGAGAATGCTGCCTCAGGACCCGAGGGAGAACCAGGAAGTAGTGACGTCCTTGAGAGGTGAGTTGCTCTGTTTTTTTTTCTCACATCATGTCAGCTGATGTGAATCATGTAAAAACATAAAAATGTGTGGAGACAGACGTGTGCGTGCGTAGCTCTAACTATCATGTGCTTGTGTGCTCATTTACATGCGCGTTTGCATTTGAGATGCTGCATGAAGGAAAGTAAGAGCAGGACAGCGTTAAGGCTAAAACATGACCCTGTCCCCAGAGAGAGAGACAGACAGACTGTCTCTGTTTCAAGCTTCATCATGTCCAGACTTTACCATATCTCTTCTTCTCTTATGCAATTCACTGTATCCCTGTGGATCACATAAATTACACTGTGTGTCTGTGTTCCTGGCCTGGAGTCCTGATCTCATCATGCTGAATTACGCTGACAAAACCGTGCTCTGTCTCTCTCCTGGCTTTGTTGCTCATAAAAGTTGAGCTGAATGGAACCTCACCCTGCCCTCTTCAATACACTGAGTCACATTTCAAGTGACGGTTTTGTGAAGCAGTCCCTTGTGGGTGAATTGTCTTTATGGCTCACTGAATAGTCAACCTTGGCTTTCCTAAGGGCATCCAACAGACCCCAAATGTGCTACAGTTTGTTTTGTTTTGCTTTCAGATTAATCTTGTTCACGGACATTTGTGCAACATATGTTTCCACCTTGACCTGATTGGATTAAACTAGTATTTTCACATATTTCCCAGTTATCATATGTGATGCAATTTAAACCTTGCAGTGCTTGTACAACATGTTTTCTGGGCCATGCTGTTGCAATGTCAGGATTTGAGACCAAGCCACACTTTATGAATTCCTCCTCACTTGCTCCCTCTGGTGTATTTTTAAAAAAAAAAGTGACAAGCCTTATTTTAAAGTCTCCGTGGCACAGCAGTTGATACTGTGACATGTTATCTCTCTTTTATTTAAATTCCTGGCCTGTGTCTTCCTGTAGTGACGTGTTACCGTCTACCGAGCTGGACAAAGACGATGCCTTACCTCAAGCCACTAACAGTAATCCTCTAGAGGAGAAACAACCACAGGAGACATCCACTGTCATGGTACACGCCTACACACACACACACACACACACACACACACACACACACACACACACACACACACACGCACACACACACATACAAACACGCCTCTGACTCATCACTTATACAAGAAAACACATAAACACCAGCAGAGATGGATGTCTCCCTTCTTCCATGAGGCTGCACTGGTTCTGGAGGTTATTCACAGCATCTTGCCACCGAGGTCATATGGCGGACATGTGAAAGTCAGCTGTTATGTAAATTTGCATTTAAGGATATCTCACCAGAGACTGAGATGACATGCTTGATAGCAGCTGAGGTAAAGGTGTGATGACGGTGTCATGCCACAGACACATGATGTCATCTTTTCTCTCTGTTTGTCTTCTTTATCTATCTGAAGGGGGATTTTAAGATGTAAAATTGGTGAATTTTGTTTGTTAATTACCATCTGTCTGTTTCTATCTCTCTCTATCCATATTAATCTCTCTTAACTCTGATATCTGCACATGAATATGCAGAATCTGTTAGCAAGGGACTTGCTAGATTCTTGTTCCTGGAAGCGTTCTGGTTTCTGCTTAAAGCAGAATTAACCATTTACACCTGGTCAATGTTAGACTGCAAGCAGGGAAACAGTCCTGTGAAGAGCAAAGGTGGGTGGCTGTGGGGTAGTGTCATTACCGTGGGACAGCATGTATCTTGTGCCAATACTTCCTGTTTGATTAACCGAACATAGATGCATTTTAAAATGCAATTTAAAAAAAACAAAAAACTACTGACTGTATGATTATTATTTCTTATTTGCTTTTTAAAAATGTATCTACAGTCTTAAACAATAACGACTACAAAAAACAGGAAGTCCTGGCACCAGATACCCGTTGTCTCATGGTTACCTCCTGAGGGATTATTAGGCAAAGTGGTCACATGACGTGTGCATTTTTTTTTTAATTGTATACTGTATTTAAAAAATAAAAATAAAAAAATTCCAAGTTTGCATTTTGATTTTCAAGCTATGTACACGTGGAGTGGGTGGAGACAAGTGTGACGGAAGGATAGTGGCAAGAGTGTTACGGGAAGTTTGCTCAGTGGTAGAGAAACCTGCTATAATACATGTTTGGAGACGGTGGCACTTACCAAAAGTCAGGAGGCCAAGGTGGAGGTTGCAGAGTTGGCAGGATTAGAAATGAGTACATCACAGGGACAGCTCAAAGTTAGAGAGGCAAGGCTGAAATAGTTTGGACATGTGCAGAGGAGAGATGGTGGATATATTAGACAAAGAAAGTGGATTATAGAGCTGCCAGACAGGAGGAAAAGAGGAAGACTGCAGAGAAGATTCATGGATGTAGTGAAGGAGGGCATGCAGAGGGTTGGTGTGACAGAAGAGGATGCTAGGGATGATCTGCTGTGTCGACCCCTAAAGGGAACAGCTTAAAGAAGAACAAGATTACAGCTTATACTGCATTCATGTGTTCACTATTGAAAACTTGATTTCTAACTGGAAAAATTCCAATGAACTCTGCCTCAAAGTGAGCAAGTTTGCTGCACCAGTTTTCTGAGTTGTTGACATCATGGTGGTATGAAATATGCTGAATAAAGTACATTTGTGGTTCAAAGTACTGAGATATATGCTTACAGGAATTGCTAATATTAGTGTAAATGACATTTCAACAAAACATGAACACATATGATAACACAGTATAGGATAGCAAAGAATGTAATACACCACAGCATATAGTAATATAACAAATTAGCCTTGCATACTGTGCTGTAGCATAAAACTTATTGTACTGCTTAGAGTCACTCCTTTAGTGTGTAGCACTTCAGTTGTAGCACCTTCACTCTTTCATGTGATCGACATCATTACTGTGGTCACTGCAAATGGTTCTCCATCAGCTGTCCCGTGACTGACTGACATTTATCGAAGTGTGCTGTCTCCGTTTGGCAGGCAAGGAGCGATGACATCACAGAGCACCCGGCTGAGCCCATCCTGCGTTCCTGCGTCAGCACAGCCAGCATGAAGGTCAAGAACATGAAGAAGTAGGTGTTCCTGGAGACAGTGTTGCTGCTATTATAGGCTGTAAACCAGGCCTCTTATTCAGGCCACTGAAATGAGGACCTATAAAATGACGGGTGTGACACAGACAGATAAGTGAGTCTGTTATCATGTGCAGACCTAACCTCACCCTTCTTCTTCTTCTTCTTTTATGCCAATAAACTTTGCTCTTCTCTTTTTCAGTGTTTTAAATACTGATAAGTTGCTGCGTTTGCTATATTTTTTTGTTTTTGTTTTTGTTTTTCAGGCTGACTTTTCCCAGAGGTCACTTTCCCAGATTGGCAGAGTGTGCCCATTTCCATTATGAGACAGTTGATTTTGGCAATGTTCAGGTGAGACCTGAAAATACTTACACCGTGACTTCAGCAGCAGAGTTTCTATGTTTAGTAATTGTGTCTTTGGCTCGAGTTCAGTGGCCGTTTTAGTGAATTGCTCCAGAAAGGAATCATTCTTTAAACGCAGCGTGGCAGCTGAATCGATAACCTTGTTTGCCTTTCCTGGACAGTTACTGCTCTATCCTTCTTTCTCCTTAAATGTCACAATAGAGCAAATAGTCTATTCTATCCAGGAATTGTAGGGTTTTGTATGAGACAAATTTAAAATCTCAGTCTGATAAATTACATGTTATGTTAACTGGCTGCAGTTATAGTTGATGCAGGGGAAGAGTTAACCTAAAAGCACAGACTAAACCTTAAATCCGGCTTCATAACACAGGCCTCTGAAGTCAGTGATTGGGATTCCTTTCCTTTAACCACGTAATAAATTATTTGGACATATAGATAATTTTCTAGGTTTAAGAAAGACTTTGTTCACTGCAGTGATAATAAGAAGCAGTGAAGCCTTAGTGGCTGCTCATCCATGTGTGGAAGTGATTGTTAGTCGCCTGGTTAACCTCGGTGTAGTGCAGGTTGCTTGCCAGCAGAGTGCGTCAGTCACCTCTGATACAGGCTGCTCCAACTACAGGCTGCCAGTGTCAGCTTTAGGCTGCCAGAGCAGTGTATGCATGTATGCACACATACTTTAAGGCTGAATCCCTACATCTAGTATTAGTCAGCTACAGTGTAACAGGCTGGACGGGACTTCGATTCTTGGATGCTCTGACTCTGTTGAGCGTCCTCTTGTGGTTGCCATGATTGTGATGGATGCATCAGCAGCGTGGAGGGAAGTGGAAGCAGCACAGTTCCAGTGACCTTGGAAAGCACCACAAGGAGACAAAAGGCAGAGTCAAGCTGAAATAGAAATTTGGGTGTGTGGAGACATTGCTGTGGGGTGTATTGCACGCCACAATGCAACGTGATGAATCCTCGACTTAATCTGAGAGATTAGTCTTTGTCCCGTGATGCATTTCTCATGTCTCTTCATCCACATAGTGCTGCAGCCAGGCGCTGATCAAGTCTCATATATCATGATTGCAGAATAGCACAAGGACAGCAGACTGCCTCTGTCTGCAGCCTGCCTGATTGATCCCTCTCCAGATTAGCTGCAGTCTTGCCTTGAGAGCGCAATGAAGGAGAATTGTTTTGAAATGACAAAGGGTCGTCTTTCTGTCTTGTGCCTTTGTATGATGGATGAGCTTGTGTATCTGTGTGTGCCGGCTGAGCCCATTTTACTGGCAAACCCCCTTTTGTTGCCGGAGAAAGGAATGAGGGTTAAGAGAGAGAGAGAGAGACAGAGGGAGAGCGAGAGGAGGAGGGTGATGGAGACCGAGTGCAGGAGAGGGAGGAGGGGGAAGAGATCGAAAAAGGGATGCAGGAAGGGGGGTAACGCACACACACACACACATATATATACACACACACACACACACAGTTGGGAGCATCCTCTTTTCATATATTCTGCTTTTAGAACAGAGCATGAGCGCGCGATGATCCAAAGCACTGGAAATGAGCTTTTTGGGTAAAACGGCAGGGGACGGCAAATAGGCGAGCTGCGTTTGAGCCGCTGCTCTGAGCTAAGATTTGGCTTGTTGGAGGAGCTTGCTGAGGTCCAGGACTGCGGCTGCACACAAAGAGAGAGCCACCTCCTCCAGCTGCGGGGAATATGTGAGATGCCTTAGTGGCAGGTAACATAACCATGCGTTGACTTTATATTCATCTGAGCTTCTGGTGGTTGATATTCGTGAGGAAATAATGTCACGCTTGTGCATTAGCATGCTCTAGTTTGAAGAGAGGAGCCTCTGAGGTGTGAGCGTCACGGAAGAAGTGATGCTCAAGCATGCCTTCGGTGAAAACTTTGAGATTTTTGCTGTTTTTATTTTTATTCAAATCTTTTAAATTGAAACCTTCTTTTTTGTCTGTGATTCAGTCCATAATCCTTCTCATCATAATCTCTTTGGCTCGTTGACCCTTCGGTACCTAATTTAGCTGTTTGGTCGGGACTAGTATTTCAGATTCTCACAGTGTACAAGAGCTCTTCCATCATGAATTATTTAGATACAAATTTCTCAGACTGCGTTCGTTGTCACTGTGGTTTGCTGTATTACTGCTGAGCAGTAACTGGGTCGCTGCGTGTTGTATAACAGTGTATCTGGATGAGTTGCTAACAGATATAAATAACCAGAACTTCCCTTGGCTTCGAGGCCTTTGAAGTCGCTGATACAGTAATGTCTATCAACAAATTCCCAAACTACAGTGAAGCTTTGATCGTTTCAGTTTTGGGGCATATTAAAAATTAGTGAGGAGGAAGAGAAAAAGAAATATTCTTTAAATCTACACCACCTCCAAGTTCTGAAATCCTAACAGCTGATCTATTATACATTTCATACTGCAGGATTTATAGTGAAGTGCTGCTGGCAGATGATATATATCCTCCTTATCCGCCAAATAACTTAACCACGAAGGCTGTCAGTCACATTTAAAGATCATTTGTCGGAATTCCTTTTTTACAAAATCTTCACATCCTCCTATATTAATGCATTATTTCCCCACAGTGCCTTGGTGCTTGATTTTCATCACACTTTTTCACTCCACTGTTCAGTGTAAAAGTGGTTTTACTATTTCATGCAGAAATGGGTCCTTACATGAAGTTCTTCTTGTATACCAGGTCATATACAGAGAGGTTGTTGTATTAAACTGATCAATTATTTAGCACGACAGCCTTCTCAGCGTTAGCTTCTTTGTCTCTCCGTAGCTGGCCTTTGCAGAGGGGCAGAGCGAAGGACCAAAGGCTGGGCTGGACTCCAAGGAGCTGGTCTTTCTGGTCCAGATCACTTGCCAGGTAACATTACTTGCTACTTTTGTGAACGAGATTAGATCGCACGATGTCGTATATTTCTTTCCATTTCCGTTTATCATTTGTTCGTCCTCTCAGGGTCGAAACTGGCTGGTGAAGAGGTCTTATGAAGACTTCCGGGTGCTGGACAAGCATCTGCACTTGTGTATATACGACCGTCGTTACTCCCAGCTCACTGAGCTGCCGCGATACGACACGCTGAAGGACACTGATGAGGTATCTATGTCCATAACGTATAAGATCACAGATTTGCCTGAAGTTATCTGTTTAATGTTACAGACAGTTTGTCTTTTACAAATCTTGATCATGTGCTTCCTTTCAGTCAGTAGCCACAATGTTGGCGACCTACCTGTCCCGCTTCTCTAACATCGCTGACAATAAGATCAACTGTGGTCCGGTATTAACATGGATGGAGGTATCTGTTTATCTTTTTGGTGATTTTTGTTCTGACACTTTGCTTTTGTTGCAGAAAAACGTAAGTTTTTGATTTTAATCAAGAATTAGCACAATAGCACAACAGAATTTAGAGTGTCCTGGGCAAGACTGGTAGCATTAACCCTCCACATTTCTGATGGTGAGAGAAACCAGAGCTCCAAGATCATATCAACACAAGCATGAAAGAACTTGGGCGGTTGTCAGTGTATTTTGTGAAGTAGTGCATCTCCTGTAGCTCATTCGCCTATTAAGATTACATTTGATGCCCTCCCCTGTAGCCATCAGTTTAATAGCTTATGCTACATGCTGTGCATTGTTCAGGCTCTGCTTTAACAGGGAACGACTGATATTAAGTCAAGTTGGAGGTAAAAAGAAAATATTTTTTTCCCTCTCTTCTGCTTCCTGTCTCTGTCCCTTTTACTGCAGTGACAGAGCTCCCGTTCCCTGCTTCCTGTGCTTAAGAAAAACTGGGCTAACACGTCTCTGTTGTAACACTTTTTATTTTTAGATCGACAACAAGGGGAACCATCTGCTGGTGTCTGAAGAAGCTTCAATCAATGTCCCCGCCATCGCCGCTGCCCACGTCACCAAGCGGTACACAGCCCAGGCCACAGACGAGCTAACCTTTGAGGTACCAGCTATTATAAAACATCTATGAGAAACACACTCGCATTTGTTTAACTTGTTTTTTCTTCTTTAGCTAGATTTTATTTGACCGAGTGTTTAGCATATGCAGATTTCTGATTCCATCACGATTCCTTTTTAATGGACTCACCTGTGATCAGACTCATCATCACACGCTTTGTGATCCAGGTGGGGGACATTGTTTCAGTCATCGACATGCCGCCTAAAGAAGACACAGGCTGGTGGCGAGGGAAACATGGATTTCAGGTATAATAAATGCACAAATGTCCTCTTTCTACTGTATAATAATACAGGTAAAAACCGGTAATGCCTTGAATATCATTAAAGAGAACCAGAGGTGTCCCACTTTGCATCCCTGTTCTGTTTTACCTTTTAATATTTTTGAGTCATTCTATCATCATGGGTCTTCTGCTCAACTATCTCTGGTTTCAAAAACATTTTGTGTCTGATCCAAAAAGATCTGAATAGTTTCTAAATGGTACTCTAGTTATAACTAAGCAAATAATGTTTTTAAAATATATTTTGTGTATTTTAATTTTCGAGTCCTACTGCCCCGGAGCAGTCTGATAATCCAGATTAAATTTAAAATATAGTCAGAAAGACATTAAAAATGCAACAATGTAGCATTTTCATATATATTCTGGCAGTTAGCGTGTGTCCTTGTTTGCCTGCAGCAGTTGTGGCTTTAGACTTACTGTTGGGATGGGAAGTTAAAGTCTTGGAGATACCGATCTCGGCATGAGGAAACGGCAATTTGGCCTCGCGACACTTATGACAGGAAAGTTAATTATTAATCCCTTTCTTATAACTGTTAATTATTTTGCTGTGTTTGATGTATAAAAACATTTCAGGCATTTTATTGTGGATACTTTATGAGATATTCATATTCAAATATGGTTTCAGATTTCAAAGTGTGAAAGAAAAACACGCTGGGAGTGGCTCAACAAACCAGAAATACAATGTATACAAAGTAATTAGCATATGAAGCCTAAATTTCACAGCAATCGTTATATCCTCAGACTTTGGACGCACAACATTTTTATGCAAATTGGAGATGGGAGAGCAGAAAATGTTTTTAAAAATTTGATGCTTTGAAATAAATGAACCATTTACAATGTCCATACAAAGTCTGTGGATATATTTAATAATAGGTTTGGCCTGGAACTCCAGGATGCCTTACCAAAGTAATCAAATGTGTTGTTGTCCCTGCTAGAGTAGAAGTAGTTGCTGCCAGCAGGAGCACGTTTTGCAATGAGGATCTAGACGCAACGAGACAGACTCACAGGTTTTGTGTCTGTTTGTCACAAACAATGCCAGCCACACTATTGCAGCTGATAGCTGAGGATTTAGCGTCTGAGGCAGCGTCTCATGCTTCCTGACCTATTTCTGCACCCTCGCTGTATAACAGTCTGCTCCAGCATAAAACACCCCCTCTGGTCCTTTTAACATTCAAGCGTATCACAGTTTCTGTCTCTCCCCTTTAGTCCTCTCAGTCTCTCTTCTCTTTTCTTCCAGGTTGGTTTCTTCCCCTGTGACTGTGTTGAGCTGATAAATGACAAGATTCCCCCCAGTGTTCAAAGCTCAGTGCCAAAGCCAGGTACTTTTCAGTGTGTGTGTGTCGGTGCGTGATGATTTATTTAAGACTTGCTTCCAGGATATGAGTCAGATTGATTTCACTCGCCTGTTATATGTATGTTGGTTGTGTGTTTCATCTTAATCAGTGTGTAAGAAGCATGGAAAGCTGGTAACGTTCCTGAGGTCTTTTATGAAGTCTCGACCGCCGCCGCAGAAGCTCAGGCAGCGCGGCATCCTCCGAGAGCGTGTGTTTGGCTGTGACCTGGGGGAACATCTCCACAACTCAGGACATGAGGGTAAAATGGATTTTTATTTCTCATTTTACAGTGAATCATTTTTACCTGCTGGCTGTTCACATTTCAGTGTAAACTGCTGGAAGGTAAGAACTAATCCCAAAGCAGGGATTACCTCGTGAATCTGTGGCTCTATAGATTTTTGTAGATTTGCCAAAACTGCTTTGTGTATTTTGGGTTTTTAGGCCTTTGGGTCAATAGGTAGACAATACTCATGTGACTTTCATCATGTGTATTATTTTAATTTCATCCATTTCTTGCTAAATATTGTAGTAAAATCTGTTCTTCACGCTGGATAATGTAATTTCACCTGTGTTGTGACTCCTTACAATGAAGCGATGCCTACTTGTAACCTTTCCTCGTGGGAACACTTCAGCCAGTGAGTAATGATTCATAGAAAACAGCTGAAATAGGAAAAAATCCAGTTGTATTACAGTGTTTTTACCTGTTGAAGGTGGGTGATGTATGTTTAAATGCTGCGTAAACACTTCACTCAAGAGTCTTAACAGCCTCAGGACTGTGTGTTTTGGATTCGCTCAAGATAAACCACAGTACCTTGTATTTACAGTGATGAATGAGCCTGTTATCCACTGCAACACATTGACTCAGTGAAATGTTTTTAATTGTTGCATAGCACAACGAGCCATGCTGTGGTACGGAGAAATACGATCCAGGTTTTCGGGCTTTGGCTGCACATGCAGTACTTCGTGGTATGACTGATTTTTGTCAGGGCGTCCCATTCAAAAATTGCTTTTGAAAGAACCGATCGAGGCATCAAAAATGTGTGCAAAATGTAACATAAGCAACGTGATATAGAAAACCTTCAACTTATAAAACACCTGAAGAAAGCATATTTTTAATGACGACTTTCAATTTGACACTAGCTATAAGCGTGTTTGAGTCTTTACTGCAAAGTAATCCATGTCTAAGGTGCGAAAATAGCAGATTATCACAAAAACACACTAAAAAGCAGCTATTTAAATGTGACTATTGGAGTTGAAACAGAGAATGATGCGGAGATAAGCTGGACGTTTACCACTGTTACCTGCCCGTGGTCAGTGATGGCCAACCCAGTAAACAGACTGCAGTGGTTAGTAAAAGTCTTGGCTTGTAATAAAATGTAGAGATGCACAGTACACCGAATCAAGACAAAACTGATGTTTTATTGTTACATCCGCCATTTTCTGTCACTTATCTGAGTCATTGGTCACAGGGCCAGCTGTCTAAGCAAATATGTTCAGGCCTCCCTCTCCCCAACCACCTCCCTAACTCATCCAATGGACCCTCAGGGGGAAGCTCATTTCTACCAGCAGGCTGTATGGAGTGCAGCTGTGCTGTAGCTGAAGCAAAAACTTTGATGTGGGAGGAGTTTATTGAGACCACGGTGGAAAACTTTTAGTAGACTTTGGGGCAATTGTGGCAAACCATCAGGTTTTCCAGGAGGGGAGAGCAGGGCTCTACTCACATTGTCTACAGTAAGTGTAGTGCACTGGAATAGTTAGATCCCAGTAGCATGGCTTCCATAGAAGAATCAGAGACTGGGGACCAGGGGGAAGACTTGCCCATCACTGATGGCCAGGCTCCTGGGGTGGATGAGATTCTTCTCGAATTTCTTAAGTAACCGGATGTTTCAGAGCTGTGTTAGTGGGCATGCTTTTGCAGCAAAGCACTGAACTTGAGGACAATGTCTCTGGACTGGCAGACTGTGGTAGTGGTTTCTCTTTTTAAGAAGGTGGACCGGAGAATGTGTTCCAGCTTCATGGGGATCACACTCTTCAGCCTCCTCTGTAAGATCTACGGCAGGCTGCTTGAGAGGAGAGTCCATTTGTTAATCAGAGGAACAATGAGTTTTGGGGGGTTTTGTTCTTATGTGGTAATGCATAGACAACTTCAGATATCCTAAAGGAATGAAGCATGTCGCTGACCATCTTTTGTCTATTGCAGTGCCCCAGGTTGTTAAGAGTTGTGCAGACTTCATAGAGAAACATGGAGTGGTGGATGGGATCTACAGGCTCTCAGGGATCTCTTCCAACATTCAGAAACTGAGGTTTGTGCCTGTTTCGCACATGCTGCAAAATCGATATATAACCCTAAACAATTCCTGAGGATTCCCAGGAAGGACCAAATTCCAAAACTGGCATCTACCTTCTAAAATATTCCCTCTAGTCTGAGTTCCCTCTGGGGTTTCAGTGTCTTTTTTTTTTTCTTTTTGCTTATTTTCTTTTTTCTTTCAAAAGCTTTTTTGGTGACTGAATTATGATAAGTAATTGGAAATATACTGAGATTCATTAAATATTGTTTTCTTTTTGAGCTGCTTCTCTTGGAATCCATCAAACACAATTTGTTTCAAGCTGTGCAGCTCTGAACGGCTGTAATGGTCTTCTCATCTATTTTATGCTTGCCAGGAGGAATTTGTGAAACAATCCCCCATCAGTACATAAATTAGGCACAGAACCTGATGGTGTTTGACAGCCAATCAAAACGTCTTTTCTCACTTAAAATAACTGACTGTCACCACATGAAATAGTCTTTCAACATTTATGAAAACACAGGAGATAAAAAAGCAGTCGACGATTTTCTGATAATAATCAGCAAATTTATTAATAGATTTCCTGCATTAGATGCAAGAATAAAGTTTTTTTTTTAAACAAAGACACTGAAATAGTAATAATAATTATCATGTGGTAAATTAATGATTTCTGCCTCAAAAGGAGCTTATCGTCCTGTTTTTGTTGTTTGTTTTTCTCATATATTGACAGATGGGCAGTAGGATGACTCCCACACTGTTCTGTTTTTCTCTTTATTTTGGTCTCCATGTAGGCATGAGTTTGACTCTGAACAGGTCCCAGACCTGAGCAGAGACGTCTACACACAGGATATCCACTCAGTGGGCTCTCTCTGCAAACTGTACTTCAGGGAGCTGCCCAACCCTCTTCTCACCTACCAGCTCTACGACAGATTCTCAGTAAGGACCACAGCACAGGTTTACACTGGGAATAGATATCAGAAAGGAAGCTGGTATTGCAACAGTGTCAAGTATTACAAGTAGGGCAAAAAAACTGCGAGGAACCTATTTCTAGTTATTCAGTATTGACCAAAGAACAGAGGAAATCATTTCAAAATTTCTGCTCATTTTGAAGTGCTGCTCAAAATGGGGTCAGTGCATCACACTGAGCTTTCTAGGAACAGCGGGGGTTGTGCATGTTAAAACCCGAATAGCAGATTAAGCGAGACAAAACAGTGGCTGCTTTGAATATTTAAAAAAAGAGGGGGAAAACGAGAGCGGGGATGTTGAGGAAACTCCCTCGGCTGTGATTAACGGTCTCGAAGTCATGCGCGCTTTATCCTCTGTCTTTTTACAGGAGGCTGTGTCTGCAGCCACAGATGAGGAGAGGCTGGTCAAAATCCACAATGTCATCCAGCAGCTGCCTCCTCCACATTACAGGTCAGCTTTCAAGCTCGCTGCTGCTGCACCCTGGTGGTCTGAAGTAGAAATGGGGATTTTGTAAACAGCATGTCGGACCCTGCTGAGAGCCTGATTTGGTTTGTGGGAGCCGTGAGATCCCGTTTTCCTACACAAGCCGATATCTCAGTTACAAAAATGTCTCACATATTCACCAAACACAGCAATTGAAAGTTATTTTATTTATCTTGAGATTTGAAAAACTGATCCTACCAGTTTCAAATCTTTTTATTGGTAATAGGAAGGATAACTGTGTTGGGTTTGAGCAGATACAATAAGCTAAAGTTGTCAATTTTAAAGCCTAAAAAGAAAAAAGCTTAGATTAAAAATTTACTTTTTTTCTGCAGGACACTGGAGTTCCTCATGAGGCACCTCTCCCAACTCGCCACCTTCAGCTCCATCACTAACATGCACACAAAAAACTTAGCTATCGTCTGGGCACCTAACCTCCTCAGGTGACTATCATAGCGTCGCAGCATTAGCTTTGCTGTTTCATTCTAGCCTTTCTGTGACGGTGAACTGGGGCATGTCTCAGTGGTACAGAGCTGTGAAATGGGTTGCGCTGTGCTTTGCTGTGTTTCAGGTCCAGACAGATCGAGTCGGCCTGCTTTAGCGGCACGGCCGCGTTCATGGAGGTGCGTATCCAGTCGGTGGTGGTGGAATTCATCCTCAATAATACTGAGGCTCTCTTCAGCCCCAAACTTAATTCGATCATAAGGGAAAGTACTGGTAAGTGTTTTTTTTAAACCGTTTCCCAGTCAAGGATTATAAAAGTTCTTGTATACATATATACCCTGTATGCATCTCTAACACACTGAACATTTCAACTTTAGGTAACAACACCTTATCCAGACCAAAGTCCTTGATGGTCTGCTCCCCATCCACTAAGTTACTGTCTATAGAGGAAGCTCAGGCTCGTACACAGGTACATCTGAGCTCCCCGGCCACCACCCCCTGCCTCACCCACAGTGACTACATCGAGGTCGGAGAGGGACCAGGAGCTCTCCTCGGCAAGTTCCACACAGTCATCGAGCTTCCGATAGAGAGGTTGGTATATGGCCGCCTTCTGTGATATATGTGAAGGAATCCTTCTGCTTCTCGAACCGCGACTCACGCGCTGTCACACCCGATCTGATCTGTTTATTGATAACGGTTAATGGATGAGCAGCATATTTGGCACTTAATTAAAAGTCATTTACAAAGCAAAGCTGCAAACTTTATAACTAAATTATTCTTTAATTAGATGCCATGAGATGAATAATCGGCCATAGCAAGTATCTGAAAATGTCAAGTTCACTTTTGGGAATTTTGCATTTTCTCTCTTTTTTTTTAATTTTTTTAGTCCAATCAGATGACTGATGAGCCATGATGAGGCATCCGTCATCTGTCAGTCCGTTTACAGTATTGGTCACAGTTTAATCGCACTTAACGACGATCACGTAATGGGTCTTCACTCAAGTTTTACAACAATTTGGCTGAATACAAATTGTAACACATAAAAAAAGAAATGTGTGGATGAGGTCACTTACAAGGTTTTTCCATTTTCACAGTGTGACCTTCATGCACACCACTTACAAATTCTTGCTCCTGATGGGCTGAAGAATCAGTTCAAACAATTTAGTCATTCAAGTCATTAACATGAGATCCTCCATGATAATAAACATGCTTGAACAACATGAAAAAAGCTGAAAAAACAAGTGACAGGAGAGTTCGAACTTTCACTTTGTCACGTGTATCCTGTTAGATGGTGATGAACATGCTCCTATTGGTCATAATCGCTGAGTCAGTGCTCGTATTACTGGTCGGGGGTTTCCTATCATCATTGTGCTAATCCGGTCCACTCTATGACATGATGATCATGCCGTTTATGGCTGTGGCAGGATCCTCTTTGAGTTTTGAATGGATTTGAATTCTAACACGTTTGTGTAATACAGCCAATGATAAGAAAACCTTTCACTCTCTTCTCATACTTCACAATATCATGCAATTTGTGATTGATCGTGAGTCATCGCTAACACTCTGGTTGTAGACTAGATAATTAATCGCATCATATAATGAAAAAATAGTAACTACTAATGTCTTGTTTTTGTTCACAGCAGTTATTTCTTCTTCTTGTACTTTTAGAAACAAGCGCCAGTATTGAAAATGATGCGTTTCTGTGTTGCAGCAGCAAGCGGCCTCCTGCTAAGGCTAAGAAGTCTCCAGTGGGGAACTGGCTCTCTTTTTTCCACCTGGGAAAATCCCATTCTGTGTCCAAACGTAAACTGAAGCGACACCCCAGTGAGCCTAACGAGATAAAGAGCATTGCACTGCCAGGTCAGCTCACTGCTGCTGTTGCGCAGCCAGAAAACATGCAGCTTCTGTACCCCAAATCTTTATTGCTTCTTTTTTTGCATTTTAATTTATCGCTTTCTTGTACTGATTGATGTATTTATTAGAGATGCTGATTCATTTATTAGGAATATTAATTTGATCAAATGTTTGCAGGGGGAAGAGGAGATAGTGGCACTTTGCGCTCTACCAAAAGTGAAGAATCTCTCACCTCTTTGCAAAATTTACAAGGTAATTAATGTTTAATATTGTCTATTTTCCACACTTCAAACATGCTGCCAGTGGTTTATAATATTTTTGTACAACATACTACTAAATAATCAGTATAAATATAATATAATTTATTCCATCCCAGGGGAGCCTCCAAGTTACCGTCCTCTCAGACCTCGTTCAACTAGCGAGGCCATGTCTGCCGTCAGTAAAGACGACCTCCACAACGGCGGCAGTAAACGCGACCGCAAAACAAAACCGCCACACGAGAGTCATGCTGGTGCTGACCGTGTCAGTACTGCAGCGGGCATTTCACCTCCGCACCAGGAGGATGACCTCGACCTTTCTCCACCGGCTGCAGGCATCTCTATTTTAGACTTTGACCCCATGTCTTTTCAGTGCAGCCCACCTTCAGCAACCCCTGGACCACAACACGGTAAAGATGCAAACAAGTGGAGGAAGAATGTTGGTTGTTCTAGTGAATCAGAGCTCATCTCTTCTCCTAACAACAACAACCTGGCCTGCCTACAGTCTCCAGACATTAGTCCAGTGCTCAGTAAAGGTGTGAGGAAGGTTAGCTACAAGCAGCTCTCCCCTAAACTCAGGAAGAAATCATTTAAGACGCAAGCAGATGTTCAGTCTGCATCCATGTCTCTGCCACCTCAGAGGGTTTCTTCTACCCCAGCGGATAACAGTGACGCTCCACTGGCAGATGGAAAAGGGCCCAAAGCGTCCTATCAACACTGCAGCCCACTCAGCACAGCGAGCCAGGCATCAGCTGTGACAGACCTCACTCAGTCTGCACAGAACATGTCCGATCCAGGTTAGTGCCATTGCTCTTTCACATTGCATACTTGATTTATACTGTAAAGTTAGCGGTTATTTAAATAAGAATGCCTTTCTTAGTTTCTTATGAAAGCTTTTGTGTCTTGTCCCATCATGTCTTACCATAGCTTTGTTTGTCCTGTCATACTGTAGCGTTGTTTGTCTTATCCCTCCCCAGGAACAGATAGACTTATGAGTTCAGTCTCTGTTCTCCCTCCTCACCCTCCCTTGACGAGTGCCGCACGCAAGTTGGCTCTGGCTCTGGCTGAAACTGCCCAAAAGGCCAGCAGTGGCTCCCAAAGAAGAAGCAATGTCCCTGTGCATCCGCTTCACAGACCGGAAGCATCTCACGTCCAGGACAGACCACCACGGCCCTCAGTCCTTGATCTCAAAGCGTATCCCCAGGAGTACAGCGGCTCTAATGTCTCCCCTGCTTCCCAGTGGCAAACATCGGTGCACAGCCCTGCGGAGACCCACTGCTACTCTCATCCTCTTCATTTCCTGCCTCCGCACCTCTGCTCAGAGTCGCTACAGGTCACCGACGGACAGGAAAGCATGTGCAATTTCACTCCTAATGTCAGTCCGCTCGGGTCAGGGAGCTTGGATGAAGGCAGCGCTGAGAGGAGGGACTGCAGAGAGAAAAAAGAGCTTAGCGATGTCACGCAAACAGAGCACACCTATCAGAGTGTTGGAGTTTCAACACCCACTCAGCCCGTCTACTCGCCTCAGAGCCCATCGGCTTCTCCTGGATACGTCAACCCGGACTCGATAAACGTTTTTAATTTCCGCTCCGTTCTGGCAGAGACCTCCATGCCCGCATCCATCGAGGAGGTGTTTCCGCGTCCATTACAGCCCTCCTTAACGCATCATTACAGCCCAGAAGAGGAGACGCCGCTCGGCATGCTTGAGGATGTCTACAGTAATCAACATTATCATCATCATCATCATCATCATCACCGACCAGTTCAGGCAGCACGAATGCCTGCACCTCACTGCCCTCGGCCTGATGCTCTGCCGCTTCACCTTTCTGGGCCAAAAGGCTTGTACAGGCAGTCCTCCGAAGGCCGCTACAGCAGTTTAGGTTTAAGGCACCCTTTGTCACCTCAGTACAGACGATACCATAGAGATGAGCACCTTATCAGTGGCTGCCACAGGCAACAAGGCCAGTGGCAGAGGTCAGACGATAGAGTAGTCGGGCACCCGGCCATCCGGAGGGCTCGCTCCTTCCATGCCCCTCAGATTAGTCATTACGAGTTGGCAGAGACAGAAGTCCTGCCCCCTGACACCATGTTTTATGTCGAGCAGACAGCAGGCCAGGAAGCACCTTATCAGAGGCTGAATCAGACTGGTCTTCACCCTGTGCGGCCGCAGTTTGAGAACACACACGCTGACTACCACTACAGTCCCTATTCAAATGTGAACCCTGCAGATGGCTCTCGCTATTACGCAGAGCCCTGCCGGCAAAGCGGCATCCGACACAGTAAGTCTTACACCGTGCGTTCAACAAGAGAAAGCGGACAATCAGATTACTACAACTACTCTCCTCAGCGCGTCCCCCCTGTGAACAGAGAGCTTTTCATAGAAAGCAGGGACACTGTTGTTTATGAGGCGAGAGACGCAGAAGTTTTTGAAAGACTCTTATATCAACCAGTCATGCAGGAGAGTAAATCCAGACATAAAAACACATATCCAGCTGCGTCTCCTTGTGAGAGTCCCATCTCGCTTGCTGACACAAGAAGTAGAGACATCGCACACACGAGAAGCAAGTCTGACCCTGGAAATGCCTGCCTCCTTTCCGCTGACAAGATGGAAAGACAAAATGTTATGCTTACATCCCCGACTTCCCAGAGGTCCCAACCGGTAGACCCCGAGGTCACCAGGCGGCAGCGCGTTCACCGCTCAAGCGCGGACTCGGGGCCTTCCAGGCGGATTCACATCAAAGAGCGTTCCTCTCAGCAGCCACCGCTTCGCAAAGTCCCCTCGCTCCCAGAAAGAGGCTGTCCTAACTTTAAGACCGTCGAGCACAACGACAGAAGCCATACGCGAGGTCACGACCAGGATCGATTAATGATGACCAACGCTGTCAACAGCTACTCTGGTATGGTGAAACCCAGCATCCTCAGGAGACCCGGGAGGTCGCAGAGCACCAGAGAAAACCGTCACTACTACCATTACCACGCCAAATCCCAAATGGATCCCGAACATCTGGGATCCTTTTCCAACAGAAGGACTCAGAGCACTAAAGTCAGGCCCACACAATATGACCACATGGAGGGGTATTACGCAGCACCCAAGCCTAAACCCACAAGATCCGTTAAAGCCGTGGCAGGATATCTGCCTGGCCAGGGCTGCATGTCGCCCCGCGGGCACAGACTGTTGTCCCAGGCTCTGGGTCATGAGGCTTTTTATCACGCTGCTCTGAGATCAGAAGCCGGGGTCTACGAGTGATTCTGACCACTGTTTTGTTTTTTTTGTTTTTTTTATCTGATTCCACATTGGGGCCAAAGGAGAACAGCACTTTATCCTCAGCCAGACCAACAGACTGTTGCTTTGAAAGTGTGTTTATTTTAACCTTCAGGAGCTGCTACAAAAAGTGTGAAGTGAGGCTGCTGCTGCTGGGGATCATACTGCCAGCGTTAGTGGTAGTTTCATATTTTTCCAGTGGCTTCCAGGGAAGCTAGAAGGCAACAAATGAATCGTATGCAGGCGTTGTATTAAATGAAAAGAGTGTAAACACTAAGACGCATGACGAGAAGAAAATGTGTTTAAAAAAGAAGAGATTTTATTTAATGTCTAAGCAACACAACAAGGGATGACAAGGTAAATTAACTGGTTTTATGAATATGATTTTAAAGTTTAGAATGTGTATAAAATAACAGTCATTTTAAACGTATATTTCTATAAATAACACATCTAACATGTGGCCAATGTACTGTACATTTGTTTTTTATTCTGGTCTGCTCAGACTTCAACAAGCACTTTTAAGGATAACTGTGTACCAAACACATTGTCTTAACGTGGTATACATGAAGCCTCTTGATATACAGCGTATCTATTTTTTTCTGTAAGAAGCGGCTTGCTCAGAATCTTTGTTTAAAATCCAAATTAGCACTTTTTGGGAGGGTCGGTAAAGCGGAAGATAACCTCATGCTTTCTAACTTTGCGCTTCTTTTTCTTTATCACACATTGTGTATTGCAAAATAACAATGAGTGCTATGATTTTTGATTTCGTATTTTCCTTTTCTTTCGTTAAGGTCGAACGCACCGCGGCAAAATATGCTCGAGATGTACATGCGAGTCAGCTCATGCGGTTCGGTGAAAGTGTATTTTGTGCGGCATCGTGCTTTGGTCGCGTAATGAAAGTTTCTTCGCTCTTCATGGGGAACTTTTAACAGTGTGGTGTTTTACATGTTTTATTCATTTAAAGATGCTCTTTTAAATTCTTAATGTAGACGAGGATATTCTGTTAAGACATGTTAATTGAGTTATTTTAGTGAGAGTAAAGAAAAAAAAATAAAGATATATTATCAATGATTACAGTGCGTCAAACTCTTATTTCATGGATATATTTAGAGGACACGACTTAAGATACTGTATATGCATCTTTTTGCTTTACTTTACCTTCAACCCTTACTCATTAGTGTTAACGTCTAAAAATGGATGCTTAGTAACCAGAGATATTACTTTCTTCGTGCTATTTATCAAAACATGGCACCTACATTACCCACAATGCAACAATAGGCCGCAGTGCTGTCGAAGAACACACTTTAATGGCTTTCATCTAAACTAATTAATTTCTAGGGGTCTCTACAGTCTTGGAAAAACAATTCTGCTTGCTACGAGATATGCCTTTTTGTAAATTTTTACCACTAATTGTTACCTTAAAAAATGCTTTTGAGGTCTAAATTGGCCTACGGTTCATACTTGGCACTTATGTTTTTGTTTCTAAGAGACAGGCAAACACAAAAAAACCAGTCTAAAATAAAATGTGTAGATGTGTACCAGTGTAACAGGTGTTTCTCTACAATGCATCCATTAGAGGGTGAGGCTACAGAGGTCTGGTAAGCTCACGTCTTTCTAGCTAAACACTTCCTGACCTTTTTGTTTTTCTTGTTTTCATACTTTTAGTTTTTCACTAAAAGCAAAGTCTGGTTTTGGTGCCATTTACAAGATTTTGCTGAGTCACAAAAGGTTTACGACATATAAATGACTTGCAAATTGACATTTTATGTGTAAAGTCAGTTTCCCAGGAATTTGGGTTATAAGCTGTGACTCCGTTATGAATCAGCAGGCTGGGTTTGGAGAAAGAAACTACTGGAGCACTTAAAAAAAAAAAGCATTCCAGGATTTGAGCTAATAAACTTTGAAACATGAATCTTCATCCCACCAGGTTTAATAGTCAAAACAACATTTTGTGTCAATAGTGTTCTTAAGCAAACAAGCAAAATTTCAAAGCTTTTCTGTGCAGTTAAGCAGGCATTATGGAACTACAATATGAAGCGTCGTTAGTCAAAGAGTCTACTAACTATCTACTTTTTTTAAAGATCTGAGATGTGAAGAAATCAAGAAATGTGATGTTATAAATCAATTTCTAAAATGCTGTGAATAAATGATGCAGTTATTTAAATAAATATGTATTTATTCCATCTTTCTTATTCTGACCCTCAGGCTGAGAGTCCCAGAGCTTGGAGCAGTTTTAACAGTGGCGTGTGCTCACCACCAGGTGGCACTGCAGCACTGCAGAAACAACATAAGCTCCTACTGCATTCAGGGGAGATCACAGACTTTGATTTGCTTCTCAGACATCTCATATCTGCTCAGAAACACTGCAGAGGATCCTGACTATTTTATTGCTTGTATTGCTTTTGAATTACTGTGCAGGTTATTAAAGAAAAATACCTGGATGTGATGTAGAAATGTGTAAAGAGCTCATTTATTGACAAAGATATGCTCTTCCAGTTAGCTGTAGTAGCGTAATTAGCTGTAGAAGACGAGCTTTAAAAGCTAGTGTGATACTATACTTATATACCTTAAGCTTGTAGCCACAGAAAGCCCATTTAAGCCATGGTTTAAAGAGAGTTGAGGGCAGTAGAATAATCAGAGGGAATCAGCCAAGGTTGTCCAAAGTGTCTGGGGAATTGTTGCATTGTTAGAAATTATTAAAGTGTTCCCCACCAGATCAAAACAGCCTCCCATTCACAGTTGACTGAAAGGCTCTGTCTTTGGCAAAAACCATTAAGAGAGCCTGCGGACTCTAGGCAATGTCTCCTGGCAGCTCTGCATTGCTCCTGGAGCAGCGAGCCATTGTTTATTCATCGCCACATTGGCATTCAAAGTGCATCCTCACTGTTCTCTTTCATAACCAACAAGTTGCAATTTTTATGCATGTGAAGGTTGAAGTCAAATTATTTATGGGAGACCGGACCTGAAGAAGGCGCACGGCCTCTAGCAAAATGGTTTACGTTGAGAGCAATCCTTTTCTATAGGCTATTGAATTCGCTGGATCACAGCAAGATATGCATGTATTATTCAGCTTTTGAGAGAAAGAATTGTTGCCCTGCTAGACTGCCATCTGCTTTTTGGACATTGTGATGCATCTGAGGCATGCTACCCTTCAGGATCAGGTTAAAGTCTTATTTTTCAGCATGGGGACAAATGAAATGAGTGGGAAAAAGGAGGGGGCCTTTCTAGCGTCCCTCCCTCGAACTTTTCACCGCCCTTCATTGCAGCGAAGGCTTTCAAGTGCAAAATACACACATATATATATATATATATATCAGAGGGGAAATTGCATGAGCATGTCTCGATGTACCCGAATTGGAAGAAAGAGGCAGAAGAAGCTGAGGTTCAGCTGCGAAGGGAAGGAACTTTCACCTGTATGAGAAATTATTCAAGAACATCTGGTGGAGTCCAGATGCGGAGATGGAATGTGTGAGGCGTGTGGTGCCAAACGCCAGCAGGTGCAAGGTGAAAGGACTCTCACCTCTCCAGGGGCAGGTGATCTGCAGGATAATAGTTACCCACTGCTCTTAGGAAGACGACTCTTCAGAGTTGAACAAAATTGTGCATTACAGACTCTTTACATTCTGAGCGAACAATTTAAAATCCTTAATGGTTCTGACTGTGACTGCAGTCAGCAGATCTATTAGTAATATAGCACATGGCAGGAGCTGCGTTTCTCTGGTTCACAGCACTTTAGTGGCTCCATAAAGAACCATTTTTGGTTGTTCATTACAGTGTAATGTTCCATTACAAAACATTATTGGAACTTTATGAATGTTCACTTCCTCATTGTTTCTTTGATGGATCTTGACGGTGAAGTGCAGAGCATATTTAAATAGCAAAACACTGCAGTAGGAGCATCCACTTCAAAACAAACCAAAAAAAAAAACAACCCTCCTTTTAGAAAGATATGCATCCAGCTGGGGCTTATTTATGAATACATATCATCAGCCTAAATAACGGAGAAGGTTTTTTTTTTTCCCTTTTTGTGAATATGTATAAAGACGCATTGTCTTTTAACCCACTCAGGCTCAAACTAAACTTTTTATTGCTAATGCACAACCAAGTCCTGCAGTGGTACTTCTGAGTAAAAAAAACTCATAAAATATGTATGTGGGGTAATCAGGTTGTTAGTTTTTAACTGTTGCAAATCGGCAACGCCTGCCTCGAGAGGGTTAAAAACCTGCTCTCTGTATATAGATAGCAGTGTGTGTGTGTGATGGCCTGGAATTCTGCCTTAAAATAGATGTTTTAGTGAGCACATAAAGCAGCACCTGATCTTACTCTAAGCTAAAACATCAGTTTCGGGTGCTTTCGGGTGCTTTCCCTTGTTCGTGCAACAGAGGAACATCTGATCCGCGTTCTGCCATTCTGGCTCGGTGCCACCTTGTCCTTCTTGGCGACAGTTTGGAGATGAGCGTCGCAGATCCGACTTTGGGTTTCTGTTGTGTTTTCAGCATCTCGCTGATTGGGAGAGGCTTCCATAATCACCAGTGTACTGAACATTTTGTATACTTGTTAGCAAAACCCAGAGTATCTCATCTGATAAGAGAAAGTTCTTAGAGATCATCTTCGTCTCACTTAATTAACTAGTTAACATGACAATGGATTCGCGTTTAATTAAAGCAGCCAAGAGAACCTTGTTAGTACTTCAGATAACCAATTAGGCCCTGGCTTTGGGCAGAAATATATATTTTATTCAAGTGTATCCATGGTTTTAGAAAATGAAAATCAGACGCTTTTTAGAGGGAGTAGTGGTGGCAGGGTGGAGGGGAGCAAGGACAATGCTTAGTGATTGAATAAGTGATTAGACCTCAGGTTTACACAAAGGCTCCTCACTTGCAGTAATGGCTGCCTGTTAGGGCTTAGTTCTCTAATTTGACATTCACATGCATATCAAAAGCGACTAAGCAACTGGAAGACTGCGTGCTGGCCCATACAATGCAAGGCGCAGTTTGTGTTGCAAACAATGCTCTTGACCTTTAACTGATGAATAATAGCCTGAGAAACAGAACGTAATTATCCAAGGCAGTACGGCTGGTTCAAAAGGTAACCACTAGTTGAGTAAGCTTTAGCCATGTGAATCCACTTGGGGCGTTTATCTGTAAGCGATATATCTATTATTATGGAGCATATCTGTGCACTAGTGATTACAGTTCGATGATTTTGAATTCAACAGATTTTAAACTCATAAGGCGTCACTAATGAGGAAATGGGGACAAAAGACAAATAAGTCAACAGGTTCTGCGCTACTGAGGAAAAGGTTTTATTCATCAGAAAAGAAGAAAAATAAAGGCCACCATCTGGATCAAGGAGCATTCAGTGTAACCATCAGATAAAAATCCAGCAAAGCCTGCTCACGCTTAGTTGCATGGTTACTGTTATTGTTCCACTGCCACAGGTGGACATACCTCACTTCTGGTAAGTTATGGTTGGTCTGTGACTGTAAGTCAGATATATATCATGACATGCATGATGAAGACCTCGTAGAAAAAAAATCTATAGCTGTGCACAAGAGTAATTCCATCCATGCAGTCATTTAGCAAAGCAGAAACAGGAGCCTGCAGTGCTCCGGGCTCCACCTCCTGCAATTTCATAACCATTTAATTTATACATTTAAAAGCTGAATTTAATTTCTACATTGAGAAACAAAGCATGCTTGGGTATAATTTATCTTTCTGACATGCCCTTTTTTAAAGTGGACCAAATCAAATAGGCTTTGAGGCGGGGCAGGCAAAGGGTTTTGTTTTTCAGGTTCCAGCAACCAGCGAAATTCTTACGTAACATGTAATATGGTTAAAAGTAAACCAACTACATTATGCCTCCCTCTGCTGTTTATTTTTCCCACATAACTTACATGATATCACATTCAATATGTGGAGACCTTGTTTTCAAAACCTTATTCCTACATTAAAGGTTGGCACACAGTTCACAAAGCCTTAATATAAAATATTTTTTGCAATTAATTAAAGGTAAATAATTGAGACATAGAGCGCCTTAACTCAGAAATGTAGAAAATTACCCCAAACAACA